CCCCCCCCCCCCCCCACAACAATACCATTGCTTTTTGTAATCCTCATTTTGCCTTGATAGAAACACTTTTTCTATCTCTTTTTGAAAGAGATTCAGACTTGAGCATGCTTGAAACAGCCATGAATCTCCAAACCAAGCAAAAACAAATTGTTGGAAAAATTCAGCAGGTCTGTTCTGAAGGTTCACTGAATCCAAAACATTAACTCCCTGCTTTCTGTACACAGATGCTGGAGACCTGAGGTGTTTTCCAGCAGTTTCTGGCTTCCACAGTTCTTTGGTTTTTAAAATCTTCAAATCTGACTGGGTTGTGATGAGCAAGATGAGGGCCCCCAACCAAAATTATTTGGAGAACTGCAGAACAAATCTCTTCTTGGATCTTGGGTTCCTCTCCCCTGCACTCCTAGGTGCAGAGATATCTCAAACAACTTGAGCACAAAAATCAAAGCCAACTCTGCTGCTGTAGTCCAGTCCTGATCCTGTCATTTAACTTGTGTCCTAAGCTCATCCTGTCTGAGACCCGTCTCCTGTTCCCTTTGACTGTTATGAGCATTCCTACCCAGCACTAATGAGGCAGTGACAGTGATTTGTTTCTGATCAGAAACACCAGAATAAATGCTGCACTGTTAGCTCAGTTGGCAAATTTAATGAGTTGAAGAAGAGTTTTTAATCTTTGCTGAGATTGGCTGATTTGCCTTCCCTGCCCCAGGGCTTGTTATAGTTGGCCACAGAAACCGTGGACTTTGCAAAAGCAATCAGTGTTCCTGTGCCCATTCACTGTGTCCACTGAACCAATCTGGGAAGGGTAGCTGTATGACTGAAGACTACGAGTTCAGCTATGGTTTCACCACCTCTTGAACAGTTCCACCGTTGTTCTTTTTGCATCTCTCCCTGCCAGCAGCATAAAGTGCCACGTTCGTGATGTCTGGAAAGATGACTGTCCCCCCTATAGAGCTAAATTGCTTAGACCTTTAAGATTTCAGGGTTCCTTTTTTAAATGAGTGCTTTTCCTAATAAAATCTCTTCTGTTTTGTTTTGTTTCTTTTTAGGGTGAGGGAGTTGCATATCGTGGTAGAATATTAGTTGAACTAATCACCAAACTTGAAGGTAATCCAGAGAAGAAGTTGGAGGACATTCCCAGTGATGATGTCTTGGTGGTTCAGGTCAGATGTGGAACAGTCTAAATGCTCGGTTAATGATTACTGAAACGTATGATTGCTGTCATTTGGGTAATAATGCATCCTATTTGTTTGGCTTTTCTATTCCTACTATAATCCCAACCTTATTTTTTCCCATTGGCTGGGATTTCCTACATCCATTGTATTCTCATAGATATTTCTTAATTTTGTTTCCTCAACTGATCTTGTGAAAGATTTTCACTTCACTTTCATTGCATATGTAGGTTCACTTGTAATGTCATTTGGTAATATAACATCACCTTACAAATGCTGTTTTGCACATCTAAGAATTCTGCATCTATGCTGCAACTAGAACTGCAAAAAGATACAAACTTTTACAAACTATTCTTTTCCCACTGCAGTTCAGTGAAAAACTGGGATAAGGCAACTATATTGGTGTTGGGGAAATTCATTTGAATAATACTTAAGCTTGTTTCATCTCTTGCACTGCAATCAATTTTCAAAAGATTTGCATTATCTGTGGGATTTGTTAGTCATTGACGTAGCCTGCTATGAAGTCAAATGTAAAATATCCCATTTTGCAGAAATACCAACGCCGGCGTAAATATAGCCTTGCTGCTGTCTTTTATGCTGGAACAATGCTTCGCGATGTTGGAGATGCCGTCCAGTTTGAAGTTAGCATTGGAAATTACGGCAACAAATTTGACAAAACATGTAGGCCTTTAGCTTCAACTACTCAGTACAGTCGAGCAGTTTTTGATGGTGAGCATCATTTATAATCAAGTTGAGACTAGTGAACTCTTGCAGCTTCTAGCGATGATATTTCTTGGTTTAGTCTCTGGGAATTTTGTCTTTTTGTCTTCAGTTCAGATTACCTGAAGCTGCTGGGTACATAGTTTGGAGGGGCTGGGGCATGTGCTTGGGAGGAGCATATCGCCAAGCTGAGGCAGAAATTAGGCATGTGAGGGAGCACCACCCATCGGTTTTAAAAACCTGACCGTTGGGCGTGAGGTGCTGCATGTGGTAAAGGTCTGGCACATTTCCCCAAGCCCCCACCACAGCAGGTATCCAAGCAGCATCTCTCCATCTGGAGGTCCTAAATGGATTGTGACAGCTGGGGTACCAGGTCCAAATCTCTGGATAGAGAGGGGGAAGAATGTTCCCACGACCACCACCCTCCTAATGGTCACCTTTTTGTGTGTGACTGTACCAATCTGTGTAAAGATGCTTAACTTGCAGGCACCAAGTGTAACTACATGTCGGTAATCTCCATATCCATAATGTCACAAAAAATTCACATCACTGCAAAGCACAGTGTACCATTCCACTTTTCCCTCCTGGAAAAGTTCAGGAAAGCACCTTCAACCATAAGTCGACCAGGCACTGGTCAGCACTTGAACAGCCCCAAGGCCCTCTGGGGGAAGGAGAGGGCCAATCCTGTTGGATGGTTCCCTGAGCAGACAGTTGGCATCATTGGGCAGAATGCCTCACTGCAGGAACCTTTCAACAAGCACAAAGACACAGCTTGGCATGTGGTGAGAAGTGAATGCCCGGACTCTGCTACCACATGCTGCCCTCAACGATTGTAGTGGTGAAGATGCTCTCCTTTTTCATTGGGAATGTGCCTTTGTAAAGGAAGTCTGGAGGAGCTGCACTGGGTTTTGTCTAACTTTTTTATGGCCTGGGAACTCCCACGATGCAGGTCTCTGCTCTGGGTCACTCGGACATTAAAATCAACTGAGGCTGGAGGGCCATCAACTCGGTGACAGACTCTGGGTCTAGCTGAAACTTGTTGGCCTTAAAGTGTAAAGACCTTGTACGCAATCTAATGTTACAGACTGGCTTGTTCCAAGGTCCAGCACTATGGGCTGAGGGATTTACCCCAAAGCTTGGGCGAGCTGCCACCAAGGCATAGAGGGGAGAGGCCACCGATCAAGGCCTCTAGTCTATGAAGACAGATCAAAGAGTCTGTTAACTTGTAAAATGCCTTGTAACGTGTTATTAGTGAAGTGCCAATTTTCCATTTGGATGGAGGTGCCTAAGGGTACAAAGTTGAAATGGGATATTTTAGTTGGATTTTCTGTCATGTCCAGCTTGCTGTTCTGTAACATGCTTGCATACTTTATGTATTAGCATAAATTCCCAATTTAGTTGAATTATGGCAGGCTGGTGGTTTAGAAATAGTAGCAAAAAATTTTAAGTGAGAAGATCAAAGTAATCTGGGTGGATAAGTGGGATTTACAGTCTTTAGCATAGGCTGAACTTCCTGTTCTCCAGTCTATTGGGGAAAGAGCAAGAAAAACAGTTTAAAAAATGTGATCGCTGTCAGGCAGTGATGGACTGTCATTCCATCTTAATTGTGATCTTTATTTCCACCAGGTAACTATTATTATTTTCTACCTTGGGCCAACACGAAACCTGTGGTGACACTGACCTCCTATTGGGAAGATATTAGTCATAGGTTGGACGCCTTGAATATCATCATAAAAATTGTCAGCAGAATGGTAAACCTTTCTACGTTACCTTCCATCACTCTCCCTTTGAATTTTGAAGCTGTGCTTGCAATTTATTTCCAGCAAATGTAAGACTTTCTAGTGACTTTCTCCACTGGCTAAAATTGTCTCCTCCTGCACACAAGTGGCTTTGCTATTTTATTTTTCCATTCAGTTGCTCGGAGATAAATCCGAACAGGAGCAGAATTAGGCCATTCAGCACATCAGGTCTGCTCCAGTATTCAACAAGATCATGGCTGATCTGCTAATCCTTGAATTCACTTTCCTGCCTTTACCCCATGACATTTGAATCCCTTACTGATTTTAAAAATCTGTGCTACATCCTTGGGACTTCAAAGAAGTTTCCAACTGCTGACAGTGGCCATGATCTTTGTTTTTAAACTTTGTTTTTGTTGTGTGTAAATTTGACACTGTCCACCAGTTAGGTGTGCCAGCTCTGGACCAATCCTATCAACTTTGAATGGACATATCATCCATTTCCTTCAAATCACTCAAATTACTTTGCTAGAGCAAGCCATCTCTCTCTTAAAGCAACATCTCAGTTGACTCTTCACTATCTCCATTGGATGAAGGAAAGGATTTTCACGTGCACGTTACCATATGTAAAAATTCCACTCATAACTAATTTATTATTGACAGTAGCCTAGTGCAAATATAAACACAGCTGTTCTGTTCCCACTACAAACCATGTGCATCTGCGGCTAGGCCGTCTCTTAAAGGAAAGCAAGTTCCTTGTCTTTCAGCTACGGTTGTGATAACTGGTTAAATAATTCATGTCGGCCTTAGCCGTGAAGGGGAGAACCATAGTCCCTCACCCGTGTGGTGAAAGCCCAGTGCATATTGAAATGCAGCCTCTTGTGCATTTAAAGCAACCTCATGTGGAAATGTTTTACAGTTGTTTGAAAAAAATCCAATGTGGAGCTGCCTGTAATTTTAAAGGCAGCAGCTGTCATAACCATCAATGAGGGTTAATACTAAAGAATACTTGTTTTCTTTTTGGGAGACAGTTGGCCAGCATAAAGCTGACATTATATTGGAGACTTAAATGAGATTTTAAAATTTTTCTCTTAGGAAAAGAATTTGACAGTGCTGAAGACTGCTATTCAGGCTAAAGTTGGTGAAGAACGCCTGGCTGAGCTGTGGTTGAAAGTTATTGAACAAATCATTGAGGACTGCAGGTTTAAAAAAAAAAGTCTTTTGACCAAAATCTCAAATCCTTTTCCTATACTTGGATATCTCTAGTTGCTGCATCTCCTGATTTGTAGGCTGTTATAATTTGACTATGTAGGTGTTTTTAGTAATCTTGTCAGTGAGTTGGGTTTTACCATTATTGCAGCTTTGCTGCCACAGCTGGATGTGAGATTAGTGTAGACATGCTACTGGACTCCAACCCATGGTTTGGGTTCAGATACCTTCTTTTGTTGTGTATCATGAAATTGCCTTAATTTCCCATTGAAGCTTTTTATGAAATTAAACCTTAACTAATGGTCTACTTCAAACAGTTAAGTCTTGATGAAACCAATTTGCAAATTTGTTGCTCTAAAGTATAGTAAAGGGGTGTAACTGGGCAACCAGTATAAATTGCAAGTGTTATCCATCTTCTGAGAATTAAAAACAGGAGCGGATACGCAGCTGGTTACATATTGAGTGCATTATTCTTTGAAGGGAAACCCTATTTAGAAATGAGAGTTTCCATCTTTCTGACTGGTTGCACCAGAGTGAAAACTTTGAGTAAACTTAATTTTTGCCCAATCTGTGCCACATTAACACTTAATACACAAATACTGTAATTATTACAGTTCAGATGATGACCATTAATAATGGGATTACTTTCAGCTTTCACTGAACTAGTCTTTTGGACAATGTCTTTTGGAAAATATTTGATCAGCTTGGACATCTTCTAAATTTGATCCTTCTACTCGTGGAGAATTTTTAAAAGTTTGGATAAATTCAATACAGCACTCCAGAATGGAGTTGTTTGCTAGGCCATTTCAGAGGGCAGTTGGCAATCGCCCACATTTGGTGTGGGAGTGGAGTAATGTGGGCCAGACTGGGTAAGGATGGTAGATGCTAGTGAAGTGATGGATTTTTCACACCACCTGCAATGGCTGCATGCTCACCACTGCCTGGACTGACTTTCAATACCAGATTATTTTGTTAACAAAATACAAATTCCAGAACTAGGACTCCTATATCCCCAAATCATTATCCTAGATCTCCAGGTTTGCTTGCTCAGTGACGTTAGCTCTATGCCACCATCTTCCCTCATGAGTAAGTTATTGCTGCTTCCTCTATATTTGAATCGGTCTTCTGATTTTCAGCCAACCCCTACCAAAGTTAGAAGGCAAATCCAATGTGACTCAGCTTGATCTGAAGATCCTAAAGCTCCGTAAAAGCACTCTGGAAGGTATACTTGACTCGGCAAAACGCACACGAATGGAGGCAGAGGACCCAAAGGAATCAATTGATGATATTGAAGACTGGCTGGAGAGACTGAAATCATTGGCTGAAGAGGTTGGTGGTCAAAGTGTGTTTTCTTTGATCTTTCATATTGTTGAGTATCATTCTAATCCAGAAAGTCTTACTGAAACCTTGGATATTTTGGACAATATTTATACTTGCTGAAAACAAAATTGTATTTTTAGATATTTTCTAACCAACCTGTTGAGCAATGTTACTGCACAGCTCCGGAGCTGGTGGGACTCCAACTTGGGTCTTCAGACTCCGAGGTAGAACACCTGCCCCCACTGCTGCAAGACCCATGGTGTCGGTATTTTAGAAAAACTTGCATTTACATATCACCTTTTCAACTTTAATTAAACATTCCAAGGTGCATTACAAGTGCAAATCGGATCCGACATGGAGTTGCGTACAGGGATGGTAGGACAGCTGTTTCCGAGTAAGATCCGAATTAGAGCCTCTAAAGGACGGTGGCAAATAGAGGAAATCTGGGGCTAAGCAGCTGAAGATGTAAAGCAGCCAATAGTTATGCAATTAATGTTGGGGGTTTATAGTCTTTAGATGAAAAGAAGTGCTGCATATCCAGTACTAGGTCAGAAATCATGTGACACCAGGTTCTGGTCCAACAGTTTTATTTGAAAACACAAGCTTGTGTTGCCTTGCTCCTTCACCAAGGCTCCAAAAGCTTGTGTTTTTGAGTGAGTAAATCTGTTGGGCCGTAACCCTGGTGTCATGTATTTTCTGACCTTTTCCACCCCAGTCCAAAACCTCCACCTCCATCATACTTGGTACTGGTTGTTGGATGAGAAGGATGATGAATGAGCTTGGAAAAGAGTTAAAATCTTTGAAATCCTATAAAATCTCTTTTTTTTTAAGTTTTTTTTAAGCAACCCTAGTATACTTTTTAAGTCACCAGGAGATGGATAATGCAGGAGATTCAAAATCTAGTATCTTTAGGTTTTTGAGCACAAGTCATTGAAATAGTTTGAGAGGGCTGAAATCTAACTGTTCTACCTATTTCCTACTCATTTTATGCTGTATGTTTGCTTACAATTTTGTTATAGAATGTGTTTAAAATATAATTGTAATATTGATCCATGATTTTATGGATCAAAGCACGTAGAATTCTTGTCTTCCTCCACTTTACCCAAAGTTCAATTTTGACTCTGGATTGAAGTTGCTTTACTGCTGATGTGGTGTAATTATTCTCCAGATACTGAAGAGGTACTTTAAAGGGCATTCGAAACAGTGACTAGATAAAATGCTGTTTCCCAAAAAAACACTCATGTACGAGATACTGATGCCAAAAAGAAAACCAGTAACTCTGCAGAAATATCATTTGATGTTCACCCAGTTTGCGTTTAATTCCCTGCTGAATGCAGTTTTTTTGGAGGACTGGCTACCTTTGAAAATAGTCACTCTTCATGTGAGTTGAGAGTCCAAGCTGATTGCCTGATGTATCACAGCCATGTTGTATTGTCTTTGTAGTGACACGGGAATACTTTGGTTACACTGATTTTTATATTTTTTTCTTGCCATTTTTAATGCAAGTAACTCAGGGCAATTGTGGAACCTCCAATCATTCTCTTGACTGATGCCTTACTTAGGTTGTGATTTGAGCTTGGTGCAATTTAAACTGATATAGACTAAGGGCTGTGAAGTATATTCATCTGCTAACCAACATGGGAAGCCTGAATTTGCCAGATGAATGTTTTTGTGTATAGTCTCTTAGTCAGAATCTGTTTTAAATGGTCCATATCTTTTTTTTTTGGTTTGTCCTAACAGCCACAGAACAGCATGCCAGATGTGATTGTCTGGATGATCTGTGATGAGAAACGAGTTGCATATGCACGAATCCCAGCTCACGAGGTGCTTTACTCAACAACCAGTGAAGAAGCCTGTGGCCAATACTCTGGAAAGACACAAACCATATTCTTGAAGGTAGAGTTGTTTGGTGCTGCTTGGCAATGAGAGCACTTTCCTTAATAGTATTATAGAAGACACATTACTACTTTATTGAAAAGCCAAGTCTTCCAGCAATTAAGACAAATTTACTGCCAAACATGCTGAACTTCACCAGCATCTAAAGAAAGAAAGCAGAGTTCATGTTCAGAGTCCAGTGCCCCTTTAAAACGGAGATTATCTCTGCCATGATGTGGAGGTGCCGATGTTGGACGGGGGTGGACGAAGTCCGAAGTCACACGACACCAGGTTATAGTCAAACCCACTTATTTGAAGTCACAAGCTTTCTGAGAGCGACTGCTTCATCACATAGCACTCTGAAAGCTTGACTTCAAATAAATGACTATAACCTGGTGTCAGGTGGCTTGACTTGCTGCCATCATGTGTTCCTAAGATGTGCCCCTTTGTAAATATAATCCATATTTTACATATTAGACACACAACATCCTCCCTGACTTTGTTGTGTTGCTAACTGAGATACCATTTTATCTTCTACCTCTGATTTGTTCTTAGACACTTTTTTGTATCTTTTTGTGCAGATGTTTAAACACTGCATCTATAGTTATTGTCTGGCACTCTGTTTGACTTCAAAAAGGATGTGCAAATAGTTTTTTAAACCATCAATTTCAATAATTGAACTCCAAGTTGTGTACTAGTTTTGCTTGCAGTTCATATGGAGGCAATTCCATTATTAACTTGGCATCTGTTCTGTTGTGATACTAGATGGTTATGTAGCAATTAAGCTGCTTTTCCTAAAGCCAGCACACTATTGTTAGGATTGCATTTGCAAAGATCCCTCCATGTTGTTCCCCTTGTAATTTGTCTCCTGAAGGCAATGAATTGAAACTTCTGTGAAGCTGTCTTTTTCCTGATCATAGATGTTAACCTGTTTACATCAATTGTCTACTATTTTTCCTCCAGTGGTTCCACTGATCTCTTGCTGAAGTTAGAAATTTGGGAGCTCTTGATGGAAACTGCAGATGAATGTTTTTTAATCCTAAGACCAGTTTTGTGGACACCTCTTTGTTCCTCCCTGCATATAATGTGTATTAGAGCCTACCTCACTGATGTCTGGCAACTTCAGAACCTTGTTAAATAAGGAAGATCTGTCAGTTATTTGACAACATAAGGTATCACCAGCCAGTCAGCCTGTTCTTGCCTACCATCTAGACACATTGTCCAGCCAAAATAATTGCATGAATTATTTTAGCAGAAAAACCTGACCAATTTCTGTTCCTTTCTACTTCACTACCTCCCCTCCCCTCTTCCCAAATGCTGTTCCATAATTTGAAATTGAGATTTTGCCAGCCAATGTGGTGTTCAGTTGCCTCTCTGGCTGAAAGTTAGCTCGCGAAAAAGCAAACCTCATGGCTGTAATTACACTCTCTTGGCTGGGGAGAGGATGCTTGGTGTCGTATCTTAAAGGTCAGTGTAGTAAGTTGATTGTCTGAAGCTATTCAGTGGAATCAGTCTAACCCTTCTGATTGATCATCTTCTAGTATCTGGAAGGCGGCAACAAAAGTTTCAAAATTCCAATTCAGCTACGTGTCCGATTTTGGCTTGGCCTCTCTACTGTTGAGAGCAAGTTCAACAGTTTTTCTGAAGGAACGTTCAGTGTATTTTCTGAATTGGTAAGCAGAAACATGGTTTATCTTGTATTGCATCAAAATGTATTAATAAAAATGAGACAATGACTTTTCTTATCAATGGGTAGGATTCTTGAACTTTAGTCTGAGTAACTAAATTCCCTGCCATTATAACGTAGATCCTTCCCATGAATAGCTATGTGCTGATTTCACTGTGATGGGAAACTGGTGAAGGAGAGGATGTGGTTGTGCTTTGAAGATCAATGGGATTCTACACTGTATCAATGTTTTGGTCTATCCAGCAGTGTTACCTGTGCTGTGTTCCAGTGTTCAGATTCACTCAGTGCCAATATGTTTGGTCCTAATGTATAGGCCCACAAGCTGTATTTGGCCCTTCGGTCATGAGCAATATTCATATCATTTCCTTTATAGCAATGGGAAGAAATCCAGCTAGTCCTTGTCCTGCTTAGTCTGGTATCGGTTGGCTGAGGCCTGGAGCTTGCGGGTCTCTTTAGCAAATGCTTTTTCAAAGTAAATTGGCCACTAGTCCTATTTAAGTTGGTTCTTTGTATACAGGACAAATTGGTGTAGAGAATTATATGGTGTAAGATAAATCTTTGTTTTTAAAAAAAAAAAAAATTGAGCTTATTCTCAATGACTTTATTGATTTTTTTTTTTTTTTTCTCCTACCCCCCCCACCCATGGAGAGAGAATTGCTGACCCCTTAATGCCCATTTTATATTTATAGTTAGATCATTACCTCTTAAGAGTAAGTATTTAATCTTAATCACATTTCATGCCTGTTCATCTTCATTTGCATTTTAGTATGAAAACCAAGCACAATTACTGGGCAAATGGGGTACCAGTGGGCTTGTTGGTCGCCAGAAGTTTTCTGATGTAACAGGGAAAATAAAACTGAAGAAAGAAAGCTTCATGCCCCCAAGAGGTTGGGAATGGGAAGGCAACTGGATTGTTGATCCTGAAAAAAGGTCAGAAATATTTTTAGCTACCTATCTATTCATTTCAGTACCATTTGTGCATCATTCATGTGACCTAAACTAGAAAAACAATTTTACTGAAGGGAAAAATGGTTGGCGGTTTATTTTTCTGTGCACCTGTCATTGCCCACTCTTGACCAGTGGATGAATGACAGCTGCAGATTTTGATGTCTATTCTGTGTAATCGTGCTCTGCAAATCCCATTTCCTCTTCATGAATTGCATCACCTGTCATCACCCCAGCCAATGTTCACCTACAAACTCTGAACGAGAGCATTTTTGGGAAATCATGCCTTTTGATTTTTGCACTAACATTTCTGCCCAGTAGGAGGCATTCACGGACTACATTACGATCGTAAGCTTTTAAAGAACAGTGATTTTGAAACATTTATGCCAGTTCTCTGCCAGCTGGTGGCAGCAAATCCCACGAGAGGCAGCAATATTTTGCATTTATTGCAGACTTGCTCAATCTGTTCCGCACATCCCAATCTGACGTGTATGGGAAATAGACCTGATATTGGTGAGATGACTAAGCATAGAAAGGGAGATTCTGAAGAATCTCCAACCTTAACCTGTTGAAAAATAATATTGAAATGGCAGCAGCTCTGCTGTAGTGATTAAACAAGGGAATAAGTGATGAACAGAGAATGGATATTGTGATGGAGGTTGCTGAAGTGAGATCATGGAAAGATTTGAATGATCTTGAAATAAATTGAGGTTTTTGTCAAGAATAAAAGGAAGTGTATGTCTGGCATATACAGCAGAGATCAAGTGAATCCCTAGAGTATAAAGGCAGTAGGGGTTTACTTAAGAGGGCAATCAGGAGGGCCAGACAAGGACATAGCTGTGGCAAATAGGAGAATCCAAAGGGATTCTTCAAATACAGTAAGGGCAAAAACGGTAACTACAGAGCAAACGGGGTCCCTTAAAGATCAGCAGGGCCGCTTATGCATGGAACCGCAGGAGACGGGGGAGATACTAAACAATTATTTTACATCCGTGTTTACTGTGGAGAAGGATATGGAAGATAGATAAAATGGGGAAATAGCGACATCTTAAAGTCCATATTACAGAGGTGGTGGTGCTGGATGTCTTAACATACAAATATGGATAAATCTCTAAGACCTGATCAGGTCTACCCTAGACTTCTGTGGGAAGCTAGGGATGTGATTGCTAGGCACCTTGCTGAGACATTTGTATCATCGATGCCTATAGGCAAGGTGCCAGAAGACTGGAGGTTGGCTAACATGGTGCCACTATTTAAGAAAGGTGGTAAGGAAAAGCCAGGGAACTACAGACCAGTGAGCCTGACATCTGTGGTGGGCACGTTTGGAGGGAATCCTGAGGGACAGGATTTACATGTATTTGGCAAGGCAAGGACTAGTTAGGGATGGTCAACATGATGTGTGTGGGAAAATGTGTGTTTCTCTAACGGAGTAGTTTTGAAGTCGTGAAAAGGATTGAGGGCAGAGCAGTGGAAGTGATCTATATAGACTTCAGTAAGGCATTTGACAAGGCTCCTCATGGTAGACTGCTAGCAAGGTTAAATCACATGGATTAGAGGGAGAATTAGCCATTTGGATACAGAACTGGCTTGAAGGCAGAAGATGGAGGGTGGTGGTGGAGGGTTGCTTTTCAGACTGGGGGCCTGTAACCAGCAGTGTGCCATAAGGATGGGTGCTGGGTCCACTGCTTTTTGTCACTTATATAAATGACAAGGATGTGAACGTAGGACATATGGTTAGTAAGTTTGCAGGTGACACCAAAATTGGAGATGTAGTTAACAGTGAAAAAGGTTGCCTCAGGATACAATGGGATCTTGATCCAATGGGCTGAGGAGTGGCAGATGGAGTTTCAGCGCCAGGGACTTGGGTTTGATTCCACCCTGTGGCAACTGTCGGTGGAGTTTGCTCATTCTCCCCGTGTCCTCCCATGGTCCAAAGATGTGCAAGTTAGATGGATTGGCCATGCTAAATTGCCCATAGTGCTCAGGGATGTTTAGGTTAGGTGGGTCAGACATGGGGAAATGCAGGGGTAGGGGAATGGGTCAAAGTGGGATGCTCTTCAGAGGGGTAGTGTGGACTTGTTGAGCTGAATGGTCTGTTTCCATACTGTAGGGATTGTGTTTAACTTAGATAAATGTGAGGTGCTGCATTTTGGAAAGGCAAATCAGGGCAGGACTTAAACACTTAATGGTAAGGTCCTGGGGAATGTTGTTGAACAGAGACCTTTGAGTGCAGGTTCGTACTCCCTTAAAAGTGGAGCCACAAGTAAATAGGGTAATGAAGAAGGCATTTGGTGTGCTTGCCTTTATTGGCCAGTGCATTGAGTATAGGAGTTGGGAGGTCATGGTGCGGCTGTACAGGACATTGGCTTGGCCACTTTTGGAATACTGTGTGCAATTCTGGTCATCCTGCTATAGGAAGGTTATTATGAAACTAGAAAGGGTTCAGATAAGATTTACAAGGACGTTGTCAGGGCTGGAGCATATGAGCTATAGGGAGAGGCTGAATAGGCTGGGGTTGTTTTGTCCTGGATCGTCAGAGGCTGAGGGGTGACCTCTTTTATAGATGTTTATAAAATTTAAAGGGCATAGATAGGGAAAAACTGTGTCTATTTACCCTGGGATGGGATAGTCCAAAACTAGAGGGCATAGGTTTAAGGAGAGATTTAAAAGGGAGCCAAGGTGGCAACTTTGCAACACAGAGGGTGTTGCACGTATGGAATGAGCTGCCAGAGGAATTGGTGGAGGCTGGTACCATACAAGATTTAAAAGGCATCTGGATGAGTATTTGAATAGGGAGAGTTTTGAGATATGGGCCAAGTGCTGGCAAATTTTCCTAAATTTATTTAGGATATCTGGTTGGTATGAATGAGTGGGACTGAAGAGTTTGTTTCCGTGCTGTACATCTGACTCTAAATTGGAGAATAGGAAGTCAGAAAACCAGTGGTGGTGGGTGAGAAACGGGGTGATTGGCAATTCTGAGTTAGTGTAGGACAGCGTGGGTGACACGGAACAGGAATGTTAGAATCTGTTGTTTTCTGATTTAATGAACTTTTTTTTACCCATGTCAATTTGGAAGGAAACTTTTTTGTCTTTCACTATAAAATGTAAGGCAGCCTCTGGTGTTGTTTTACTGGTGCTGATTCTAACTAAGTGCCACGGTTCCCCACTTCCCCCATCCTATTATTTTGTCGTGTTGTAGAAACTTGAAAAAAAGTTCTTCCATCGAATAAAAACTGGAAGTTTTAATTCCAAAATAACCGTGTAAATAGAGGACAAAATAATGGATCTAGCTCATTCTCTTTTGAATGTTTTGACCAAGTTGTGTTTTTTTTTGTTATTGTTTGACTCACTTCCACAATTGTGATGAGCAGTGGAAAATTCCACTCTGATCTAACCAGAAGCTGACGTACTCTCCCACTGTCTGGTGGAAAATTCGGGTCTCTTTGTCTAGCTTCTGATATCTGCTCCACTCTTTCCCCACCCAGCACCTCTGAATCCTACTGACTCCTTTGCTGTATTTAACCAGAATTGATTTTAGTTGAAATTTGAAACAAATTGCGCCAGGTCAGTTCTTTGGGATATCTTTCAACTTCAGTGAGTTTGCCTTGATATAGCACCAGCTCTTAATGGACTTTTTGAACCATTCTCATATTCCCTTGAAACAAAAACAAAGTTGCTGGAAAAGCTCAGCAGGTCTGGCAGCATCTGGGAAGAAAATATCAGAATTAATGTTTCGGGTCCATTGACCCTTAGAACTGCCAGCAACCTCCCTGTTTTTGTTTTTGTTTTTGTTCCTGATTTACAGCATCCACAGTTCTTTGGTTCTTGTTCCCTTAGCCTGGGTGAAAGTACTTCGTGAACAGGAATGATATCCATTCTAGCTGCCGTTGCCACTCACTGGTACCAGGAGTGTCTCATTCATTTGGTCAGGATTCTTGGGATGAAGGATTGCTGACAGGAGAGCCAAATGTTATTTGGGGATGCACCTGCGGTTGGAGATTGGAGGATAGCTGTCAGCAGCCATCTCCTCTAGATCCAGTCCTTGTCTGTTTCTTTTTTTTTCCCTGCATGCATAACACTCTCTTCTGACACCAACGCCCACCCAACCCTCTTCAAACTAACAGCTTGGCTGAGCTGGCTAACCAGCCAGCTCGGCCAACATTTTCCAGTCATGCCTGGAGCTGGTGTAATTGTGACCCAGGCCAGATGATGCCCTGGTCCTCAATTGGCAGCCAAGAGGGATGGTCAAGCTTGGGCCTTTTCTGCCCAGAGCTCCTTTTCAGGCAGAGATAGGGAAGCAGCAAGATTCTGGTGTCGTCCTCGTCCTTGTGGATAAGAAGATTATGCAGAAGGCTTTCATTTAGCAAACTAAATACCATGTTACATCATAACTTAGTTCATTTTTATTTATGTTAATAGTTTGCTAACAGAAGCTGATGCTGGTCACACAGAATTTATTGATGAAGTTTATGAAAATAACTCCCGCTACCCTGGAGCTGAGTGGAAAGTTGCAGAGGAGCCTTACACTGATCTGGTGCGTACTGCAGGATCAAAATATTCTCCTTTTTTTTTCTGTTACTGTTCACTTCTGTGTGGAATAGATCATTAAATTGAGGAAGCTGGAAGCCAGGGGTGTGATTGTTTTTGTCTCCAAGTACTTTACAGCCAATGATGTAGTTTTGAATTGCCTCACTGTTGCAGTGTAGGAAACACAATAGCCAATTTGCATGCAGCAAACTCCAACAGCAGTGGGGTAATGTCCAGATCATCATTCTGAATTGAGATTAATATTAGCTAGGGATAACTCCCCTGTTTTTCACTCGCATTGTATGAAAAAGATCCCCTGGTACACCAGAGTAAGCAGATGGGATGTGGATTGATTTTGTCTGAAAGATTGCACATTTGACAGTGCAATACTGTCCTGGAGTTGGATTTGAACCTGAAAGTGCTCAGCTGAGCTGAAGTCTGTGTATTTTGATTGGATTTTAAATGTTGTATTGCCATCTTTGTAGTGATGCTGGAAATCCTACCAGTCTAGTTTAAGCTTCCAAATGGCACAGACAGTGTTCATAACCCACTTTTAATAAAGCTGACCTGCTCCCTATGCCTCTGGTGTAGCTTTAATGTTTTACAGATACTTAAACTTTTTATGGTTGTTTGACAGTGTAGTGCTGGCATTGTTTTCAGCAAAACCTATATATTACAGGTTTGTGAGCTAAAGGTATTGCACCACCTTGTGGCATTATTAGCATAACAGCTGTCCCAGAAATACAAAGTGTTATGGTTGTGCCTGAATACTTGCATTCAATGTATTTTTGCAGTATTAGCGATCAATCAGGAAGCTCCTGCTCCATTATGTTTCAGTGTGCCATTTGGTGAATTACAAACTGCAACTTTAAATTCCCAAGTTGATCATTGCTGAACTAAGCTCTGGAAAACCAGATCCTGATGCAATTTGTATCTGGCTATCTAACCATTTTTGGTTTTCAATTAGTTGCAGACCCCTAACTTGAAGTCAGTGTACAAACTGTGTAGATAACAAGCTAACAATATCTAAGCCTACTTAGTTAAAAGTTCCATAAAAATGTCCTTTTTATTTGCTTCTGTCATAGAATGGTGAAAAGAGTTCCTCAAAAGAGGAGATTGAGTGTCCACCAGGCTGGAATTGGTTGGATGATTGGGAATATGATGTCAATCGAGCTGTGGATGAACACGGTGATTATTTTTTCCAATAAATAACAGCTGTTGTTTTTTAGTGTTTGTTCTACTGCCATCCGACTTGAAGAAGCAACAGTTTGTTTTTGATTTTGATCATTTTATTTGCCCTTGGGATAGGGATACAGGTTACCATTTTCAACGTTTTGGGTCAGCTGCAATAAACAAAGGAAGGTGGTCATAGACTTCAGGATGTCGACAAACTGGTGGAGTGAATAGACCGCAAATAAAATTCAGTTTAGAAACACGATGGAAAACACACTGGTAGGAAGAGTGAGGAAAGAGTGCAAGCCAAATAGTACAATATTAGTCGGTGCAGGAAGGGACAGACACGGGTTGCTTGTGCACAAGTAGTTTGAAGGTGGCAAGACAAGTTAGCAAAGCACTTAATTGAATGTTTTGGATCATGGCCTTAAAGTAGAGGCGTAGAATACAAAGGCCAGGAAGGTATGTGAAACTTATAGTGCATTAATTTGGCTTCTGTTTTGAGTATTGACAAATTGAGTCCCCATTTTATTCAGGATGAAGTTTTGAAAATGATATGGAAGCAATTTACCAGAATTGTTTCAGGAACATAAAATTTGCTGTTTTGTGGAGAATCTAGAATGGCTCTCCTTTAATGCAAAGAGCTTGCAGATTTGAAAGAGGTGTTTAAAATTGTGGAAGCTTTGAGTGAGTAATGGGAAACTGTTAATAATTGCTGAAGGGATGATGACTGGAGAGAACAGACTTAAGATAATTAGTAAAAGATCCAGAGGCAGTTTTATCACAAAACAGATTATTAGCATTTTGAATGTACTGCCTGAAAGGGACTAAATAGAATAGGTAGTGTTTGAAAAGGGAATTAGATAATTACTTGGAAAAAAATCACACAAATATAGGTAAGAGTGAGATGAACTGAATTGTTCACCTAAATTGCATGGGCCAAATGATAACCATCTAAAGCTGATCTAGACTTGTATCCAATCTGAGTTGTCATAGGAAAGATGACAGGATGAAGAAATTCACTGAATCTAAGGTGCTGTTGAAGATTGATGCTTCTCTTGTATTGCAGCACATCTGGGATTTGGTGTAAATTTTTGTTACTTGACAAGATTTTGGTTATAATCCTCATTTTTACTAAGTTGTAAATACAGTTAAATGGAATTAGCTTACCAGTAAGGCTGAAAGTCTGGCAGTTTGCATCATGACAGCAGTTTAATTGTACTTTTGGCTCATTCACTTCATACAGTATTACAGCAGAGAAAGTCCATTCACTTGATTGTGTCTGTCTGTGCTAGCTTTTGGAATAGCCATTTGGTTACCCCACTTTTCACCGACTTCTTTTTATGATGGGTTTTCCTTTTTTAACCTGACTATATATTCAAATTCCCTTTTGCAAGTTGCCGTTGAATACCTTTCATCCTTTTTCAGGCAACGCATTCCTAATTATGACTTGCTGTTTTTGGGGGTGAAAATGTCTTCCAGCTTGCTGCTTATAATTCTTGCAGATTTATTCTCCTGGCTACTGGCATGCTACCAATTTTCTGCTATTTAAACAATCCAAACACTTTTTCATTCTGAATACATACGAGATCCAATGTAGAAACAGGTCACTTTAGCCCAACCAGTCACTGCCAGCACTTGGTTCACGCTCCCTCCCTCTCTCTCTTCCTCCATTTTATACCATCATCACAAACCCCTGCTTTCCCCCTCCTTGATATGCTTATCAAACTTCACCTTAAGTGCATCTCTACAATTCACTTCACACTGTGATAGTGAGTTCCACGTAGTCATCATTTTCAGGATAAATACTACTGAAATAAATCTTCCCCCACCCTATGAAAACAATAACGGCTTCTCTAGTCTGTCACAAAGTATAACTTGTTAGCCAGAGCAAATCTGGGCAGTTTTCTGAAAGTTGCCCCTTGCTGGGCACATCAGAAGTTACCAGCAGTGCCCTGGCACTAACTGAGCCCTGTTGTATTGAGTTCCAGTTATTGTCATAGAGCTCCACTCAACTCTGTTCAGCCTTATCTTTTAAAAGGGTTGGGACAGTGCTCAGTGGTTAGCACTGCTGCCTCACAGCACCAGGGACTGGGTTTGAGTCCCCTCTCAGGTCACCATCTGTCTGTGGGGTTTGCACATTCTCCCCATGTCTGTGTGGGTTTCCTCTGGGTGCTCTAGTTTCTTCCTGCAGTCCAAAGATGTGCAGGCTAGGTGGATTGGCCACAGGAAATTGCCCATAGTGTCCAAGAATCTCCAGGTGGAGTAGCCATGGGAGATGCAGGGTTACAAGGATAGGGTAGGGAGATGGGTCTGGGTGGGATGCTGTTCAGAGGGTTGGTGTGGACTTGATGGGCTGAATGGCCTGCTTCCACACTGTAGGGATTCTATGAAAACAAGACTCTCAATCGAAGATGTCTCCCTTCGGACAGTGGAATGTAAAAACCAAAGTAGAGCTTTTCTCAAGTTGGTAACATAAATCACCGGCTTGGCCCTGGTCCAAAATGCTGTTCCCAATCAACTTGCATTTTATTACCTGCGCTGTTTCATAATGAGGAGCAGTGGGGTACACAATCTGTAGAGTTTCTCACTCCTAATACTCAAACACTGGTGAACATTGTGGTGGGGGGGGTGGTGGCTGTTAAGTAATATGGTATAAAATGCTTTATTTTAGCATTGGTAATTTGACAGTGCTTCAAACAGTGAATTTTAAAATCTTAGTTTTTACTAACCCTTTTTCATCCTATCTTTATACTACAGGCTGGGAGTATGGAATAACGGTACCCCCGGATGACAAACCCAAATCTTGGGTCTCGACAGAGAAAATGTACCACACCCATAGGCGCAGGCGCTGGGTGAGAAGGCGCAAGAAAGACGATCAGCAAACAGTCCAACCCGTAAAGGTATGTTTGACAGTACGTGTGGACTTTTAACAGTTGCAGCAGGTAGAGCAATGTCAAAACTATTTGTCATGAAGTGGTATGGAAGTAATCTTGAGTCGCAGATACAATACATTGTAAAATGCCTCCCATTTAAATCCATTTCCAACCTACGATTGGTAATTACAGGTGGTGAGAGAGAAAGCAACCTCTAACTTGTCTATTCATGTAGTTTAGTGACCAGTTATAGATTCTGTCTCTAAGTCCTTGTGCAAACTGTTAATTAAAGCTGAAAAACACAATGAGATTATAGGCACGGTGTAAATATTATTGATCTAAGTGTCAGTCTCTGCTTTTTTTTTTGCTTTACTTTCTTCTGGCTTTCAGAGTCAAACACCTGGCCAGGATTTGGAAGGATGGGAATACGCTTCTCTGATTGGTTGGAACTTTCACCTAAAGCAGCGGAAATCAGATACTTACCGACGCAGAAGATGGAGAAGAAAAATGGCCCCATCTGAACGACTTGGAGCTGCTGCAGTCTTCAAACTCGAAGGTGCCCTTGTAAGTAAGCAAGAATTTCTTTTTACTAAAATGAGGTGATAGCTTCTGTCTCTGAAACTTGTAAGCTTATGTAATCACTTAAATTACAGCATATCACTAAATCAGGGACTTGCCTCATTACAAAAGTTGACCTTTCAGTCTGTTAATTAGTGGTGATTTTAAGGGAAGACAGTTTTGTACTTTATTTTGTGTGGTGTTGCGTCAATACTATAATCCAAACACCCCACAATTGGATTTTTAAAGGAAACACAGGATCTGATCTGTGCAGCAAGATGATTATATTGCTTCACAGCCATTACACTGTTTATGCTGTTCATCTGTAGGTAGTATTGATATATTTCAAGATTTGTGGGTGGACATTTGTCTTTGTGTTGCCACAAATGTGCAGATTCCAGTCCAGTAGTATCTTTTGACATTGTAATTATATTTTCAAAAAGGTAACTCTAAATACAACAATCTGAAGGGAATTGGTTTCCTATTGCAACAAATGTCACTGCTGTAGCTGGGTTTTGTGGGACTTCTCTCAACAGTATTTTTTTTTTAAAAAAGCTGTAATGTTTTCCATTTTGTATCTGTGAATTTAAGGAAAGAAATTTTAACAATACACAAAGGACATGTCTCCCAATTATTTCAGCTGTTCTCCTGCTCACTGATGTCAGCCCTGATATGAAACAACAGCAATGATGTCCCAATGTGTGCACTAGCCCCATTTGTATCTGCTTGATTAAAGTGGCATAATGCTGAATGTGACAACTGAAAATTGAAACTTGTTTGCTTTCTGTGGTGTGGCAATGGAATGAAGCTACCCAGATAGGGATGAAAGTGACTAGACAAATTTCGTGGTTTCTGTTTCTTAAGGCTCTGACTTCGGGTGAGGATGGTGACAAATCGCCAACTGCAGACTCTATTTTTGGGGCAAGTGCTCCGACGATCTCCTGTGTGTTTGACCGTAAGTAAAACTTTACAGTACAGTTCTTGATGTATGGCTATAGTGCCATAGACAGTATCTTCCACTGTTAGTGGTGCAAAGTAGTCCAAACTGATCTGTCTTGGTAATTATACATAACTAATGACTTACTTCCCCATCGTACGGCCAGCCCATCTTTCCCTTCCCACAACCAACCCACCCAACGTGCTTTCCCACCACCTCCCCACCTCACCGCGCCCCCCCACACCCACCACCACCACCAAACTGTCAAAGTTGCTGTACTGTTGCACAGAAATCTGTCTTCACTGTTTGGCCCAATAGGTACTAACTTTTTTAGTGCTGCTGTCATTACCCTGATAATGGAGTATATTTTAGCACTGGGCTTTCCATTTTTGTGCTTGCTCTTCAATTTATGTAAATGTTGTTGGAGAAATGTCATCTTGGAATTGACTGTTGATTTATGACGAAGGATTCCTGTTGGAGTTAACATTTCCCAAAGCTGATGCATACTTTCAGGAATACGTTTTTGTAACCGGTGTATACGCTTGGATAACAACTCTGCCAGGCACACCACCACCAGGCATTCTCTTCCAAGCCCCACACCGTCCTGACTTGGAACTATATCACCATTCCTTTTTGCTGTACCTGGATCAAAACACTGGAAATCCCTTCCTACCTTGCATGGACTGCAACAGTCTAAGAAGGCAGCTCACCATTTTCTCTGGGGCAATCAATGATAGCCAAAACTTGCTAGTGTAGGAGACACTAACCTCCCATCTTTTTAAAAAGAGTAACTATAATACATTTATTAGTTCAGTTTATCTTTCCAGTTCATGTAGCCTGAGTCTGGAGCTGGGCATTTAGCTGACAGTGGAGGTACCCATATTGGGTTGCCTTGGTAGAGAGGCTTTTTAGTTCTTCCCACTTTGGATGTCCATTGGGCCTCTTACATTTAGGTTAACACTTCACACTGGAGGTTTGGGAGTATAAGAAGTGTATCCTTTTGTTAAAGTTGGTATTTTGTTTCAGGCCCTGCAATCTATCACCTCCGTTGCTACATTTATCAAGCAAGAGCCATAATTTCCATGGACAAAGATAGTTTTTCAGGTATGTGCTCACGAAACTTCATTCTGAGGTTTATTAATGATATTGTCACTACTGAATTATATTTTTGTATGTAACATACTGACCGTTTTATGCGGCCATTCTATTCAGAGCTGTCAGTTTGAAGAACTCTGGTCTTTTTTTACTCAATAAATTTGCTGCAAAATTTATTTTAATTGCAGCACTTTTTTCTGCCAGAAAAGTGAATACTGTGATAAAATATTGAGTAAAAGGTGAAAATGTGGTAGTTCAACCAGAGCTTTGGAGAACATTTTTAACACTTCCTCCTCATCCTTGCAATTTAGGCTTCTTTTCAAAGATTTGATTTGATTTTAAAGCCTGTGAAGTTGTCCTTTTTTATTCCAAGGTACTGCAGATATTGCTGAAAAGAGACATTACTGAAGCTTTTTGTGTTGCACTTCATAGAATCCTAGCTTCTCTACAGTGTGAAAGTGGGCCATTTGGCCTATTTAGTCGATACCAACCCTCTGAAGAGCATCCCACCTGGACCACCCCTCGGCCCATCCCGTCCCTGTAACCCTGCATTTCCCATGGCTAACCCACCTAGCCTGTATATCCCTGCAAAATATGGGCAATTTCAATATAGCCAATCCATCTAACTCCCACATCTTTGGACTCTGGTAGGAAACCAGAGCACCTGGAGGAAAACCCCACATACACACTCACCCAAGGCTGGAATTGAGCCAGAGTCCCTGGTGTTGCGAGGCAGCGGCAGTGCTAGCTACTGTGCTTCCATGCTCCCTATGACAAATGCAAGAATTTCAAGTTTCAAATGATCTGAACCGCTTACTTCAATAGCCAAGTGTTGCTGAATGAATGGAAAGTTGACTCTGCTTGGCCAAGGTCTTGTGGGGTGCTGTTTCTCTCTTCCCCCAACTTTAACTGTGCAATTAAAGGAACAGCTAATTAGAGATAGTGTGGAGCTGGAGGAACACAGCAGGCCACCGCATCAGGAGCAGGGAAGTTGACGCTTTGGGTCAGACCCTTCTTCGTTTCTGAAGAAGGGTCCTAACCCGGAACGTCCACTTCCCTTCTCTGATGCCTGGCCTGCTGTGTTCCTCCAGCTCCACATTGTTATTTCTGACTCCAGCATCTGCAGTTCTTGCTATCTCTAACAGTTAATTTAGAGACAAATTTGTATTGAATAAGTGATGCAAAAGCACACCCATTTGAGAGATGGCAAACGTACACTCAGAAGAGGTAAGGTTATGAATTGTCAGCTAGAGTAGATTGTGACAGAGCAAACAGGGCTTGCGTTGTGCAGTCCATACATAGGACTGAACAAGTGTAGACATGGGGCAAGACACACATAGTGGAAGACATATTAATGCCAAATAGAAGAAGGCACACCGAGTGGGGAAACCACTGTTCACATTGCAAAAATGAAATCATTTTGCGTATGCATGCTCGAAACAAACAGGTAGAGATGACCGCTAGAGCGATAGCTGTTGTAAGTTGACAAATCACTATACACAATACAACAGGTAGAGGGGTGAGATGTGATTGTAACTGTTAGCACAAGAACCATACAACTGGAGCACCACATCTGTGTCAACTAAACACTGGTATGGCATTTAAGATAATGATGTTCACAACTCTGCGTTCAACATGGTGTTCCAAAAACTGGCAGTGAGCCAAATTTCATTTTGATAATCCTAAGTAATTGCCACAGTTGAGTGTTGGAGAGCCAGTTGGGGTATAATCCTTCAATGTTCCCAACAAATGTCAGCTGAGGACCTGTATGGAGTAGTTGTCCCCTATCATACCAGCTAGACTAGCACATCCGCAGGCAGATATTTGATGCCATTGCTCCAAAATTGAATATCCCCGTATGTGGAAATCTTCTCCATTCCAGTCTGATGCAGGCGGTTGCCCCTTTTTTATTGTAGGAATAGTAAAACCATTTTGGGGAAAATCCTTCCATGTCTTTTATTTTTCTATTGTTTGGATGTGGTATCTGCCCTAAGTGACCACTCTTCATGGTATCTTTAAAAGTAAGTTGTCAGCAAACTTTTTTACTCACTAGTATGAGAATAATAAACCAACCAATCCTGGCCATGTCTTCAATCCAATTCCACACAAAGGCACTTCGTTATTCAAGCTACTGGATAACAATAAGGACTCAACTTTTTGCTGTTTGTTTGTTTCCTTGTCCTGCACTCTTGATCACAGCATTGCTGTTGAGGGATTGTCACTGTTTCTCTGCAGTGAGACAGTGCAGTGGGTGAAGGCTGTGTGGTGTTCAGAAATCAGCAATGAACTCTACCATTCCATGCATCAATTTTGTTGCTTATGAAATATTAAGAAAATTATCTTTTCAATTGTATAGCTATTTATATTGATTTTGGTCAATATTGCACAAATTCCACCTGCATGTTTACTTTTAATGGCTTGTGGTATCTTTAGCTTTTTTCTGTAGGCTTCTCCTCCATGGGGGCTGATATTCGTAATTCAACATTTTAAGGAGTCTGCAACCTGGGAAACAGTAAAATCGCAGCCTATAATGAAACTGTTCCCCACCTTCCCCCTGCCCCCCCAACCCTTGCCTTTCTGTATTGGAGTTTGCTTGCTGTATGTAATGATTCAAAATTGGACTGTAATTTACTTGATTAGCAAATGTTACTTGATTTTTCAGATCCATATGCTCATGTTTCATTTCTCCATCAAAGCAAGACAACTGAAGTTATTAAATCCACACTGAACCCAACCTGGGACCAGACCCTGATCTTCAATGACATTGATATCTACGGCAGTCCTGAAACATTAATTAAAAACCCACCAAATGTGGTGATTGAAATATATGATGAAGATCAAGTTGTATGTATTTGTTCATGTTTGGTTTGATTACGTTGAATTTATAGCCTGTCAAAGGAGAAGTGGACGATGTTAACAAATTTAACATGAAGCTTGTTCTGTACAGGGGAAAGATGAATTTTTAGGCAGATGTACCTGTCCTCCAATGGTGAAGCTAAATCCAGAAACAGACATGGTTCCCAAGCTCCTCTGGTATCCAATAAAGAATGGGAAAAAGAAATCTGGAGAGCTCCTTGTTGCTGCTGAGCTAATAATGAAAGACAAAGTAAAGTATATGATTGTTACACTTTGCTATACTAACTTGTGGCATTCCCCAGCACTGAAAGTAATGTGCTTATGCATGAAATTAAATAATTCATTTGGCTTTGTCTTTGCACTGCTCCTGTTACTGAGACAGGAAATATTGCTAACCTATTTGTATTGCATCATCTGCAAATGCATCTGAATTTTGTTTGGATCACGTGTTTACACTGGGGCTAGTTAATCAAACCTGTGGACTCCCTTGTTCTATCCACCACATTATCCATCCGAGTAGCATGTTCAAAAAAAGTGCCTTTTACTGAAAATGGCCAATTCAGGAATATTTCTGATAGCTCATCAGATGTCTTTTGTTGCCTTGCAACTGCTTTGCCATCCCAGTTGAAGCCTCTAACTTGTCTGACTGGCATTTGGTCTTGGTCTGCTGTTTTACTACTTGCCAACCTCTCCAAATCATCCCTACAGTTAGTTGGGTTCTGCATCTTGTCCTCTAGGCCTTCACAAGAATTACCAATTTATTTGAAATGATCTGATGACTGTCTTACTACTACAAAATTACATTTAAGCTGTCTTTTTACTCATTGTGCTTTTATCTTGTTTCTTATTCCAACAGCCTGATGGTTCTAATTTACCAATTCTTCCACCAGTCCGGTCTGGTGTACTATACATGGTGCCACATGGGATTAGACCAGTTGTGCAGCTTACTGCAATTGAAGTGAGTCTCATTTCTTCTGGATCATCTTCATTCTTTGGGCAGGGTTTGGTTAGCAAGTGGTGGAGGCCATGATTAACTTGACCAATGTTGCTGGTACATATTACTATTTAATATTCTAGACCACAATCTTCTGCTTTTGGAGACAATTATTATAAAATGTAATAGACTCAGTCATACAGCAGAGAAACACCTTTTTTTGAGCCAACTAGTCCATGCTGATCATAATCCCAAACTAATCTTGAACAATTTCTTCACTTGTGGGACAGTTCTTACATGTGGAAATGTGCTACTCCTCCATAGATGTTTAGCTGCCTTCAAAAATCTCTGAACAGCTCCCCCCACCCCCACCCAAGCATCCCCACCAGTTGAGTTACTGATGCAAATTAGTGGTTGGCTATGGCCGAGGTTTTTCTGAGAACGGTGATGGTAAGAGTCACCATTTTACCTGCTGTTCAATTGCCCAAGTTCTCCTAACAGATTTTCCCATGAGACTTTTTTATCTGTTCAAGTTAACTGCCCTCCCCAGGAGCTCTGTGGCGCCTGGAAACCGTGATCTGTTCAACTGGTCAAGTTTTTTTTTTTTTTAAAAAAATCACTGCTGACAGTCAATTTTTAAAAAAATGTATTTGATATTCATTGCACAGGACACAAAAATAAATAAGTATTGTGTTTTACATGGGATTGGGAGAAATATCAATAGGAGAGCTGCTTTTTCAAAAGTCCACGACTTTGCTTTTATTTTTGAGGAATGAGACTCCACACTTGTCAAACCACTTCTTCCAGACGACAGTAGCTGTTCAGTAATTATTGCTTTCTATGACCTTTGGGGAAAATCCAGATCTTTCTGGTTTGAGATCAGTTGAAATGATTTGGTCCTTTCTCAAAGTGAGAATAGTGAAAAATTTAATGCTAGTACACAGCTATTGATGAAAACTGCAGTAACCAGACCATGGTATAGATGTTATCTCTCTCATCTGCTTCTGAATTTAAAAGTTTAACTCAGGATGCGCTACCAGAAGTTGGTATCAGCTTTATGCAGTAAGAACTGTGCCTTGCCATTATAAATGTCATGAAGTCTAGTCTGTTAAGCTACTTGATATTTTGTAAGTTATCCGTTGAACAAATTACTTGTAATATCCGATTCAAACCGAAAGCCGTGTGAATAAGGTTCATCCAAGTATTTTAATGAAAATGTTGTAGATACTAACGTGGGGCTTGCGGAACATGAAGAGCTACCAACTGGCTGCTGTTACATCCCCAAGTCTCATTGTAGAATGTGGTGGCGAGTATTTGGAGTCAGCAGTGATCAAGAGTCTTAAGAAGTGTCCTAATTTCCCCACTTCTGTTCTCTTTATGAAAGTGGTATGTGTTTGAATTTTTGATTTTTGCATTAAATTCCTTCATATTATTGAATTGTTACTGTTTGTTTTTAATCTTTTTCAATACTTTGTGCACTTTTTAAAAACACTAACACAAATCTTGCTAGGATGTGAGAATTAAAATATTTGGTATCTTAATGTACTATCAGTCAATTTTAAAATTAGAATCAGTTGTACCATTTCTACAGCATTTAAAGAATTTCTAGAAACTGATCAATATTAGGACTACTTCTGGCACTGTGCAAGCTAGGATAGGCTAACTAGATGCTTCAAGCTTGTCATTTTAAACCTGACATGACATTAAGTGCTAATACAGCTTAAACAGAGGCGTTTGCTACACTATGCTAACATTTAATATTCCGAACATACCAAAACAGCAACTTTGAATTACTTGACACTCCTTTTCCTTTTTCAAGTTTTATAATGGCAAATAAGCTTACTAGGCTTTATCTTAATACTACATGTCCAATTTCATTGAGCTAAGGTTCCTATTTTTTAATCACCTTTGGCATGAAGGTTTACATGGGTGCCAAATTAACTTTAATCTAAAATTATCAAGCAATTTCACGCTTGTCCTAGGCTTGAACAAAAGACCTGTCTAACTGGCCATTAATTATGGTTATATGCACTGAAATTAGAATTTCTCTTAATTGTTTAGAAAGGTTCAAGAAGAATTAAATTTCAAACGCAAGTTATTTACAACACGAGGTTTAACCAAGTCTATATGTTTAACTGTTTTACACTACGTGGGTTAAGGGTTAGACTTTGAATCTCATCCATCAGGAACTATGTCATGAGTGAATCTGGAAGATTGTACCATCCCTGAAGTCCCTCTACTCCATAGGATCAAAATAGAACTACTGCATCTGGTTATTACGATGACAGTTTACGTACCGTGGCCTTTATCAGATTTTAAACAAAAATCCATCAATCTGGTCTCTTTAATAAACATGATTAAATCATCAGTACGAAACTTAGTGAATAAATATGCAATAATCTGTTAACATATACAGCTAGTAATGAAGTATTAAATGCTTATCCCTATAAGAATGCTTAAAACACATGCACCCCTAGGAAAAGAGGGGGAAAAAACTCTCTGCAGATTTTGGCTTTTTAATTTAAGAGGGGGAAAAAAAATACACAGGCCAGTGGATTATTCTTGAAGGCAAAAGGATAAAGCCTAGCATATGCCAAAGTCTCTATGCCTTTTATGATCTGGCCTCTAGTCAAGTCAGTAATTGGACTAAAGTCATCCAGACACAACCTGCTCAGGAAATACAATCTTTGTTCTTCCAAACACTGTTTCAAAACAACAATTTCATCCTGATGTAGAGGAGCTTCTTTTGAGAAACTGGAGAGATATGCTAGACAGCTTGCTCTAAGCCAGCTTTCCTCTATCCAGATAAACGAAGAGCCTCTCCCAGCTAGTTGGTGTTCACATGAACAGCCCCAGTAAGCAGAAAAGCAAGCAATTATCATTTGATTACTAGGAAGCTTCCTTTACAAAGAATTTCCATTGTCGACTTTAAATTACTTTTAAAGAAACCACTGCAAGGAATGTCCACAAAGCTTGAAGTTGATGGTTTTTCATCTTCCTTCAAGAATCAAGTTCTCCAAGCAACATTTGATGCAGTATGATTACAGAATGAAGTCTAAGAAAATTGATAACACCTCTGAACAAATACCGTGCAAATAAGATATTACTCAGTGCGTGAAATTTTATGGTGCGACCTTATCTTGAACGTAATTCTCATTCTTTGACCACTTTTTAATACAAAACTGAATGTGTTGCGTAAGAAGTAGTGATATCAATAAATGGAAGACTTGTACAAATGAATGGCCCAGATAAGAAAACCGTAGACTTGACATTTCTGATTTTTGGTTCTAGCTGCTTCCAAAAGAAGAAATGTACACCCCTCCTATTGTCATAAAGGTGATTGACCACAGACCCTTTGGGCGTAAGCCAGTGGTTGGGCAGTGCACAGTTCATTCTCTGCAAGAATATCGGATTGATCCATATGCTGCAAGACAGGCTGTCGGAATGCAATCAAAAGGTATTTTTCAAATTTCATTACTTAGAAGTTCCAACCTCGTGTGTTTAATGGGAAATTTCTCTTCGGTATAGAGAACTAACTTGGATCAATGTAGCATCATTCACAGGCTGAGTTCTCCAGTGCTTTAAGATTTACGAATCGCATGATTCAAGTGGAGGTGTTGAGAGAGCCATTAGAAGTAATTTCTCTTTAAAAGTATCCTATCTTGATTTGAAATGTGTTCACTGTTGTCATGGCAATACCTCTCTTTCTACGATTATTAGTAGACTGATGTAGTTTTCAATTTGCTTTTTAATTTTCACAGCATCTCTGCTTTCAAATGCTCGTGACTGTGTCGTTGACATAGAAGACAATCAAAAACCTCTCCTTGAATCACAGGTAATGTATGCCATTTTGTTTATGGACCTAAAAATCCATTGAGCATTGATACTTGAAGTATGATCTGAAGAAGTTAACTTTTCCCACAAAGAAGTAACACATTACCTGGGAGGACACCGCTTCATCAGGATCAAAACCTATTTGTGAATTGAAAAGATGATGCGATGATTGAAGTAATGGCAAGTTGCAGGATGTCATTTGTTTAAATTTAGTAATCCTTCATAATCCACACAAATGCAGTGCAATCCATGCCTAATGTAAATCGCAAGGTAAATCATGTTGCACAGCTGATAAATTGGAGAAAGAGCTTGGATGTTTTGTTTTTGATACAAACCCAAGTTGACTTTCCATTGGATGCAGTGGCCTGGGTGCTCTTTATCTTCTGTAAACTGTGGATTGCAAAGTGTATTTCTAATTCACTAATGCTGTCTGTTGTGTTGCTAAATCCATTATGCAATCTGTGGAATCTGTATAATGTTTATGGGTGATGAAAACATTTCAGAACTTTGGTTGAGTGAGTGGTGTGGTTAAAAATATCACTTTGACCAACCCCCCCACCATTAGATGGAACACTCATAATGCATTCTAACTTTCAGTTTATAGACAGTATGACCAAAGCAGTCATCAAAATGGCTTCTCCATCAGCATTGCATGTATGTATGGAAAGAAAGACAAAGATGACAATACTTGGGATTGAGGTGGCTATACTGAATTGTATTCTCCCACTGTGTGTTAAATGAAATTATGGGAGTATTTAGCATCTGCTACATTGATTTTTGTTTTATAATTAACCGGCTGCCAGATTAGCAATTTCTACTGGAAATTGTTGATTTCCTGGATTAGAATATGAACTTTTTTGTTGCAATGGACTTCTTCTGCGTTCACTCTGTCTGGATTGATGAAAGTGCATCACAACTAGCACTCTGGCCCATCTTAAAGTACTTAGAATGTGCTTCAGCTTACAACTGCTTTTCCAGCTAGTTGTTTGCTGTTTGAGTATCAAAAAAATTAAATTCCAAACTGTTAAAATGTTTAAAATTTGAACAGCATTTAGAAAAATGATTGATTTTTAAAAATGGTTTAGGTTGTATCAGCTGGTAGCTTGGAGTCGTCATCTTTCTGGGCTAGCCATTTTGTTCTCTGTTCACAACCTGCCGATTGACCCTGTCCTTTGTTTTTTGTTAAAGCAAGAAAACTCCAGTGTTAGAAATAGAAATAACGTACTTGAACTTTGCTTTGAAGTTGTAGGTGTTCTATCTAATTCTCCTCTTTTCTCAGTTTTTGATTTTTTTAACTTTTCATTTATTCATTTATAATATTTCTTCTCATTCTATTCCCACCCTATTGCAAGCACTGGCAGCTTGGGCTGTAGAGGTTTGGTGTAGGAGAGGGTGTGAAAGGGTTTAGATGGAGACTTTAATGCACCAGCTGGTGTGTTTTGTGCAGAAGGTTACTGGCAGAGTTGAGCTCACCAGTCTGGAGATCTTGATGTGTTGCTGCAGGACAGGGCCATCAGGCAATGGTGTTTCCAGTAGCGATGGACCTTCCTCTGTTTACTTTTCATAACCTGAAGATAGTATGGCCACTTGTGCTTGTATTACTGCCTTGACTAAGAGATTCAATGCAAACTCATTCCTGGCCTGCATGGCTGAAAGGTGGGCTGTAACCTCTAAGCTGTCAAAGGTACTTCATTAATCTTCCAATCAACCTGCATTTTTCCCTCCCAAGTGATTTTTGTACTGCATTCCAGATGAAGATTTGAGAGAGGTAAAATTGCCCCGTAGTCCCATAAGAACATGGGGCTGCTCTCATTAGAGACACCCAAGTTTAACCTGAGGGTCACCACATCTTGGGCCAGAGGCAAGATTGAGAAGGCAGGGCCATTGTGGTAACCTCATGGGGTAGGAATTGAACCATCACCCTGCATTACAAACTAGTCATCCAGCCAGCTGAGCTAATGATATTCCAGAGTTGGGATCAATGACTATTAGTGGCAATGCTTTCAGTTGCAATCGGTTAAAATCAGGCATGTGCAGAATTGAAGTGCAAATATCTCTGGAAGGTTACAGAGCTGAAGGTGAGAGCAGAGATATGAAGAGGTGGGGCCCAGAAGGCATTTGACAACCAGCATGAGAATTTTAAAATCCTAATATTGCTTTTCTTTGAGCCAGTGTAAATCATTGAGCACAGAAGTGATGTGCAAATGGAACTTGCTGTGAATTGAGACAAAGGCAGAGAATGTTTGAACTTCAGGATAAGAGCCTAGAATGTGGGAGGTAGCTGGGAGTTCATTGGAATAGTTGAGTCAAGAGACATTTAAATGAGGGTTTCAGCAGTAGATGAGATGGCCGAAGCATGACAATGAAAATGGACAGGCACAAGTATTGGGTCTGAAGTTCATCTCTGGATCAAAAGTGATAAGATTGCAGTCAGTGGCTTCATCCCCAGACTGTTAGCAGGTAGTGGGATGGAGTCAGTAGCTAGAGGACTGAACATTGGCTACAGGTGTGGACCAGAGTTAACTATCCAAATAGTTCGTGCATAAATGAACTATACTTTTTAATATTGAGAATTTATCTAAGAGACTTAAGCCAGTTTGATCGAGTTCCTGGAGTTGGCTGTTCTCAGCCATGGCAGTAAATGTATTCCTGATAACTGTACTGAGAGATTTTAGGTTTCCATGGCGCACTACTTAAGCTTTGGGTAAGATGTGCAAAATGAAAGAAGAGTGAGCAACGTGAGTTGAGCTTTTCCTTCTAAATACTGTAACTTAGAGCTTCAACTGCAACTGGTTTCTCAGTTCATTAATGGTGTTTGCCCCGGAACGCTTGTTTTAAGTTGACTTGAAAAGAAACCCTTTGATTCTAAATGGAAGTTATTCTGTGTTTACTGGAAGTCAGTTTTCTCATTTTCAATTTTTTCTATTGCTTCAAAGCTCTGACCATGCAATGCTGTTTGGAATATTGTTTTTCAAAAAAAAAAATCCTGAAGTGCCTTTTTTTTTTTGGTGGTCCCAATTCTAATATGGACTTTAATCCTCCAAGTTTTACTTCAAATTGATACCATTTTGTACAGTTTGACAGGAGGGGGTTTGAAGCTGAAGTTTGAGACAGAATTAACAAAAGCTCTGATATTTATTGTCACATTCCAAGGACAATAAATCTCTGAAGGCAGTTCTAACTTTTTTTGTGCTAGACCTTCAGCTACTGTTTTTAAAATTTTTAAATGATTGTGTATGGATTTCTAGTATGGAGCCCTGTTGGGAATTCCACGGAAAACCAGCTATTGACTGACCTGTTTCATTGTGATGGTAAAAGATTTGTTTTTAGAAAACTCCTCTTGTACAAATACAAATATTTCACTCCCAATCTCATTTACATACAGTGGATCATTAAAGGCCTTTTGCTTTCAAAAGACAGTATCTCCTATGCTAGCCTACACAGACCACAGGTTAAACCTTTGGCAAGAAAAAGTCGAACAAAGGCCATTTTAAACTATACAGCATTGTTAAAATCCTTATCTTTTCTTATTATAAAAAAAACTAAAGATCGTGTCCACTGATTCTGAAGGACTGGCTGCTTTTCGATCTTCCCAGGTATGTATAATGGTACTGTATTTTGAAACTGCTAATCGTCTGAAGACTGTCGTGACATGTTAATAATGCTGTGTGGGTTTAAAAAGTTGTGAAAACTGTGTAGGCTGATAGAATGGGATAGTGGCTCTAAATCCCGTGGAGGAAATATGAGCCTTTTGGATTTGAGACGGTGTATCCTCCTAAATTGGTTGACTTTCTGTTCTGTAAAACTTTTTTAATGACAGGGAATGGAACTCTGCATGATTTGATACACAATTGCGAGAGAATTTCTATTTTGGAATTTAATGGTGTTACTAACCAACACTTGTTCATTACATACCTTGTACCTTAAATGGTACACAAGTCCTGTAGTACATTAATTTTTGTTTTAATCCTCCCAACAATTTAAATCCAACTTCTGATAGAAAAGAAAACTGTGTATTAACCAAGATTAGAAGCTTTAATCTGCCTTCTTGCACTGAATTATGACACACAATTTGGCATGCGTTCAAAGGGAGAAAATTAATCCAAATTAGGAATTAATCTTGGTGTAATTTCCTGAAGAGGTATGTAATAAACACACGCTTTAGGAATCTTTTGGTGGGAAGTGCTGGGTTTACCCATACTGAAACCTTCTCTCCTGATACAGAAACTGATTACTACTTCCTACCTAACCTATACTTTAACCATTTGAATGAAAGAACTATATTTTTAATCACTAACTAGATTTATCCTTTTCTGTTCCATAACTTTCAATGTGACCTTGATGAACAATTCTATGCTGTGAGCAGGCTGCAAAGGTAAGGATAATTTTTTTCTCCCTCTTCAAAATTGTTTGTAACTTGTTAAATGCAAGGTGCAGCTGAAACAGAACTCACTTTATTTCCTTTTTGTAACCAGTACTAAGCAAAATATTAGCTGTTGCTATCCAGAGGAATCTGTTTCCCAACCTGCACACAGGCAAACAAATCAGTAATATTGGAATCTCAAATGGATTGGGAAGATCCAAACAGGCAGCTGTTAATATTTGTGTAGTGCTTTGTAGTTTCTGCCTGTCACTGTTTTATAAAAGTTATTTTTGTGAAGAAGATTTTAATTATTTTTAGGAGGAAGAGGCAATTGATTGGTGGAGCAAGTTTTATGCATCTATAGGAGAGCATGAACGATGTGGCACCTATATTCAGAAAGGTTATGATACATTGAAGGTAATGTAATTCTGTACTTTATCTCTGTTTTAAGTAAACGCTTGAAATGAATTTTAAATATTTTGGAGAGAAAACCAAATTCTTCTTGCACACCTAATGCCGTAAAAATATTCCCACTCTCCTCATTGCTCTGCTTAAATCTTGTTTCTCAGTGGCGTCCTAGAGGAATGGCTGTGGTGAGAACATTGCAATTTCAATTCTTATGGTGTAGTAATTTCAGATTCAACAGAGCTCCAGCACTGAGTGAGGTTTGAGTTACAATTTGAATGTGGAGCACCAATAGCTAGGCTCTTTGATATCCTCACAGCAAACAGTCCCTACTGACTTGAGGGAAATGACTGCTTGCTTGGATCATGATATTGAATGACTTCTAATATTAGGAGATATTCTGTGTTATATCAGTTTTAGTTTGTTTACAAGCAACCTTTCAAGTTTTGAAAAATCTGAACTCTCAAACTCACTGCCAAACTATATGTAATTTTTGATGGGATTTGGGCAAGCTATGGGGTCAGACCAGGTAAATATGACGTTACTTGAGTTTTTACAGCCATCTGACATTTTCAATTGTCCCTTTTTTTAAACTAAGACAAGCTGTATAGTCCAGATTTATGAATTCTACCAGCTGCCATGGTGGGATTTGAACCCATGACCCAGACCATTAGATTGGTCCCCTGGATGAATAACCCAGCTAAAATTATTTTGACTGCCATCTCCTTTTTAAAAATCTCTTCTGGCATGCTTTCAGACTGAACTGGTGCATTTGAAGTGCTCTGTTGCTGATCTAGCTGCTGTTTAACCATTTTTCTGAATTGAGTTACCAGAGCTTGTTGACTGTAATGGTTCCATTGTCTGATAGCTTATTTGGACTTGAACAATTTAGATTTAATAATTTGATGGAGAGCTGCCTGAAAAATGTGTGGTCTGTTAAGGTATTTCTAATCAACCTGTTCAGCAATGTTATTGCTCATGTCTGGAGCAAGTAGGACTTGAACCCAGGTCTCCTTGTTCAGAGGTAGGGACTTCCAAGTCCATGCAGAGCAGTGGCTGGTGAAACTAGAAGTGCATGCATCAATATGGCATCAGCGTGTACAGATCTTGGGGGCAGCCATGAAGCTTAGTGAATGTTGCAGTTCCTGGAGTGTAATTTTTATTATTTGTACCTTCATTAAAAGATCTTGGTCTGTGGACACTCTTTTTAAATTTTATTTTTTAACGTGGCTGTTTTAACAAGTTGCAGCTCCCTTTCTAATGCAATAACTTAGCATTGCAGTAAAAACTTTTACTAGTAACGTAGCTAGATTCTAAAATAATCCCTAATGGGGACACCAATACAAAGCTGATTGTTCCAATTGGAATTGATATCTGTTACCTGTACTTTTTTTTTGTAAAAACCGGACTATCGTCTCTGCCAGTTAGATTCTGAAAAGGTCTGTTTTCTGCCTTCACTTGAAATTGAGTGTTTGACATTTTGTATTGCCTGTAGACATGTAGCCGTCAACATAATTAAGAGATGACTTTAAAGCTGACATTGCCTGGATATTTGAAGATTACACCTGGCCTGAACTGTTGCCAATAATCAGCCCCACGCCAGCTTGCATCTAGATAAAGTGACTTTGCCTTCCAGGCTAAAAAAAAAGTGAAGTGAGACTGATTGGTAGTTTAAATTGCTTTTTGTGTGTGTGTCTGAGTGAGCTTCCTCCACTTCCTTCACTACAGGTGTACACCACAGAACTGGAGAATGTCCCAGAATTCAAAGGCCTGACTGATTTCTGCCACACCTTTAAACTATACAGAGGTAAATCCGAAGAGGATGAAGACCCATCAGTTGTGGGTGAATTTAAGGTAATGGCTTGTTCAATGAAAGCATTTATCCAAATATCATCTTCACCTTGCACTAAATCCTAGTGATAAACCTCCAGGCCCAGTCAGAAATCTCTCCCACTCTCGCATGTGAGAAAACACTCAAACTTTTCCAATTATTTATTGACTTTTTTTTAGAGAAATAATTCAAAATAGCAGGTTATTCCTGAAACTAGTGAATTCCCTGTCAAACTTTGTTTAACGTGACTAACTTCTGAGGAAGGGTCACCAGACCCGAAACGTTAACTCTGGCATCATCTGTGAAGACAAATCAGACCTGAGCTTTTTCAATCTCGTTCTACAGTTAAGGAATTGCTATTTATTACAAATAAAAAAACTATTTACCTATAGGGAGAATCTATGGGATATGATATTTAACCGCCCGTGTGCTCTAGTTGATGTTGACTTTTGCCTCTTGTAGGGTTCCTTCAAGATTTACCCACTGAGTGATGATCCAAATGTTCAAACGCCTCCACGTCAGTTTGCAGAACTGCCAGATAGTGGAGCTCAGGAATGTTTGGTGCGAATTTATGTTGTTCGAGCCATTGACTTACAACCAAAAGATAATAATGGCAAGGTAAGAAAATAGGCATGGTAACAAGCATATTAAATCTACCAGTTTGGCACAATTCCAGCTGTTTTTCCTTTGACCAGGTCTGGAGGAATGTGCTGTGCCTAATCTTTCTCTCCCAGTGCTACCTTTCACGTCTGGTCATCTTTTTTTAGTTCCAGCCAGAGACCGGCTGGGAAATTAATGTCAAAGTGCATTTCTGTTCTCAATGAGACAGCCAGCTGCTGCTTTATGCACAGTAACCATGACAATGAATGTGATGGCGAACTAGATATCGGTGGATCGGGAGATGATTTTTCTCATTCGCTCGTGGGACATGGGCATCGCTGGCTGGCCCAGTGTTTATTGCCTGTCCCTAGTTAACTTTATGGTGGTGGTAAGCTACTGTCTTGAACTGCTATAGGAGGCTTTTCTTGCACCCATGTGTTGACTGATCCTTATCTTGTCTGCACTGATGTTTAGCTGCAAATAGGACTAGAATCAGTAGTATTCTTGTGCTATTACTGCCTGTGTATCCCCTCCCACATAATATGAAATTGGGATCAATAATGTTTTTTATTATTTCCTCACAATTGAAACTGAGCACTTTCCTGGTCTACATTTTTAAAAAAACTGAGCTGGTTTTGGGGCTCTTTTTTTTTTTTGTCTTTTATGATCTGAACTGATGATCCTGTAACTTTTGCTATTTGTTTGCTATCATGGTCGCTCATTGGCAGCTTGTTGCGATTATGCTCAATGTACATTTAACAATCAGTTTATTGCACACCAGGATAAAAACACTAGCTATGGTATGCTATGTAGATCTAATTGGAAGTCTCATATTTGCACAATGTAACATGTCTCTTCCCAAGATCATTAAACACGCTGCAGACACCTCACTTAGTCCTTGATGTTTTCCTTAAAACGCCTAACAGCCTTGTTAGGATGTTTGCCTGTCTATTGCCTTCTATTCCTAGAGCTTTCCTTACTAGCTGCTAAGCCTCTTGGACAATCCTTCCTTCTGCCCTGACTATTTTGGAGACTGCTAAATTGCACTGTTGATGTTACAGCCTTTTTTCTCACTGAAAGAGCTCCTTCTCATTTGAAATGAACTTCTCCACTTATTGACCACCTTCACAGGAATATATATTACTTGGTAGGGAACTAATACATTTAAACAGCAGAAAAAGTGCTTCCCCTTAACAAACAAAAACACCATATTCCATTTAGCATTGTATCATTTTCTCCATAGGTAAGGAGTCTTGAGTTCAAGTTCATAACCCATTCCACTTTTAAACACAGTCCCTTCTCCTTGTATTACCAAGATTGATGTTCCAGTGTCCTTTTTAAACTTGGTTCCTTTCGCTTAATCCATTTGTACATAATCAAATGGACTTCCCACATTGCAAGGTTCTCCTGATTCTGTGATTATTCATTTAAAATTTCACACCATCACCACTGGGAATTCTGAGCCACTAAAATTGCATCTAAAACACCATGAAGTCCGGCTGATAAGTTGTTGCCGCATTGCTTCAGTCTTCAAAAACAGCAGTGAAGAATGACCAAAATGGATGGTGTCCAAAATCTTTGCTTTATTTCTTCTCTCTTCCCCAGGCCCACCCACCCACCTCCCCCTCCCCCCCCAAGAAAACCTTGTTACACTCACTGAAGTCATTTTTTTCTTCTGGCAAGTTCTAACAGAATTCACTTGTGCAACAAAGGGGAATGAAAATGAGACTTATTCCCCATGTACTAGGGTCAATCAGATGAACTTGCACATAATGCAAATTCAGGTTTTCAATTTGGAAATTTCCTGATTTGCATAATTAGCTGCAGAACCATATTTCAACCATTGAAATAGTTTTCTAACTTTACAGTTTGGGAAATGGAGTTGTTGCTGTCACAATGAGCATTTTTTGCCCATTGCTAATTGTCCTTGCAAGTGCTGGTGCATGACCATCTTGAACTGCTGTAGGTACACTTTTTTTGTGCTATTGTGGGAAGTGTTCCAGCCTTCTGACCCAGTGACAAAGGGCTCGTGATATGGTACTGTGTAAGGATAATGTGTGGCTTACAGGAGAACTTGCTGGTGGTGGTGTTAGAGTTCAGGAATGTTTAAAGTGTAAAATATGTATGTATGATGTGTATGATCAATAGCTGTCTGGTGGTCAGCTTCAGTTTTGGGTGAAGAGTTTGAGGGAGTTATGCTGATGGCTGTATTTTGAGCCACTTTTCTGCACTTTGTTTTGACAGTGGAACAATAACATACATGGTTTTAATCTGTACATGGCAAATTGCAGTTTAAGGGCTTCACTTTGGATTTTTTCCCACCTCTGCACATGACCGAGGGAAGATGCTTATAGACCCACCCCGTGCCCTACCGTTCCAGTGCAATGGCACTACCTCCAAACTTTGCAACAGGCAATGGGGTGCTGTGGTATTAAATTGTGCCCAGTATGTGAAAACAATCCTGCAGTAGAATTAAGTTCTTTTGGACCCTTGAGTGTGCTTCACAAACTTTAAAAGTAGGTGTTTTCTAATTTTATTTTCATCCTACTTAGTGTGATCCATATGTGAAGATCACCTTGGGTAAAAAATCAATAGAAGACAGAGACAACTACATTCCCAAGACCCTGAACCCAGTCTTTGGCAGGTATGTTGACGTTCTTTCATGGTTAGTGCATGTTCGTGACTAAATTTTGATTTGAGAAATTTGACTGTTAGGTCTAAGCCTTTTGATCTGATATTGAAGTCTTGATGTGTGAGAAACTCCTTGCTTATCTTTAAAATATTCCATGACTCGAATTCTTGTACATTGTCCACTCCTCCCTCTCCAGCATTAATGTTAAATTAAACAGTTGGCTGCTTCTAGATCAATTCCTCTCCCTCACACCAACGTCTGCACCCAGCCAAACCAAACACCACTACTTGCAAAGCCATGGGTTGCTGCTAACCCAATCTGACCAACTACACAGTTGTCAGTCTTCTCAACAATATTCAAAAGCTGAAAGTTGGCAGTCAAACTGCAATTTGTTCTCGCCATGTTTCAGAGCAGATGTATTCCTCAAGTTGCAAGTGTCTAAAAAATCATGGATAGTAGGAACTGCAGATGCTGGAGAATCTGAGACAACAAGGTGCAGGGCTGGATGAACACAGCAGGCCAAGCAGCATCACGAGCAGAGAGGCTGACGTTTCGGGCCGAGACCCTTCATCAGGGAAGGGGGTTTTGAAATAAATAGGGAGAGAGTGGGAGGCGGATAGAAGAGGGATAGAGGAGAGGAAACAAACAGGTCGAAGAGGCGGGGATGGAGCCAGGAAAGGTGAGTGTAGGTAGGGAGTTAGGAAGGGGATAGGTCAGTCCAGGGAGGACGGACAGGTCAAGGGGGCGGGATGAGGTTGGTCGGTAGGAGATGGAGGTGCGGCTTGAGGTGGGAGGAGGGGATAGGTGGGAGGAAGAACAGGTTAGGGAGGCAGGGACGAGCTGGACTGGTTTTGGGATGCGGGAGGGGAGATTTTGAAACTTGTGAAATCCACATTGATACCATTGGGCTGCAGGGTTCCCAAGCGGAATATGAGTTGCTGTTCCTGCAACCTTCGGGTGGCATCGTTGTGGCACTGCAGGAGGCCCAGGATGGACATGTCGTCTGAGGAATGGGAGGGGGAGGTGTTGAAATGGTTCGCGACTGGGAGGTGCAGTTGTTTATTGCGAACCGAGCGTAGGTGTTCTGCAAAGCGGTCCCCGAGTCTCCGCTTGGTTTCCCCGATGTAGAGGAAGCCACACCGGGTGCAGCGGATGCAGTATACCACATTGGCAGATGAACATCTGCTTGATGTGGAAAGTCTTCTTGGGGCCTGGGATGGGGGTGAGGGAGGAGGTATGGGGGCAGGTGTAGCACTTCCTGCGGTTGCAAGGAAAAGTGCCGGGTGTGGTGGAGCTGGAGGGGAGTCACAGAGAGAGTTGTCCCTCCGGAAAGCAGATAAGGGTGGGGAGGGAAAGATGATGTCTTTGGTGGTGGGGTCAGATTGCAGATGGCGGAAGTGTCGGAGGATGATGCGTTGGATCCGGAGGTTGGTGGGGTGGTACGTGAGGACGAGGGGGATTCTTTTTTGGTTCTTATTGCGTGGACGGGGTGTGAGGGATGAGGTGCGGGAGATGTGGGAGACACGGTTGAGGGCGTTCTCGACCACCGAGGAGAAGTTACGGTCCTTGGAAAAACGAGGACAACTGAGATGTACGGGAGTGGAATGCCTCCTCCTGGGAGCAGATGCGGCGGAGGCGAAGGAATTGGGAATAGGGGATAGCATTTTTGCAGGAAGGTGGGTGGGAGGAGGAATATTCGAGGTAGCTGTGGGAGTCGGTGGGCTTGAAATGAATATCGGTTTCTAGGTGGTTGCCCGATATGGAGACAGAGGTCCAGGAAGGGGAGAGAGGTGGTAGAGATGGTCCAGGTAAATTTAAGGTTGGGGTGGAAGGTGTTAGTGAAGTGTATGAACTGTTCGAGCTCCTCGTGGGAGCACGAGGCGGCGCCGATACAGTCATCGATGTAACGGAGGAAGAGGTGGGGTTTAGGGCCAGTGTAGGTATGGAAGAGGGATTGTTCCACGTAACCTACAAAGAGGCAGGCGGAGCTTGGACCCATGCGGGTACCCATGGCCATATTCATTTCAAGCCCACCAACTCCCACAGCTACCTCGAATACTCCTCCTCCCACCCACCTTCCTGCAAAAATGCTATCCCCTGTTCCCAATTCCTTCGCCTCCGCCGCATCTGCTCCCAGGATGAGGCATTCAACTCCGTACATCTCAGTTGTCCTCGTTTTTCAAGGACCGTAACTTCTCCTCCTCGGTGGTCGAGAACGCCCTCAACCGTGTCTCCCACATCTCCCGCACCTCATCCCTCACACCCCGTCCACGCAATAAGAACCAAAAAAGAATCCCCCTCGTCCTCACGTACCACCCCACCAACCTCCGGATCCAACGCATCATCCTCCGACACTTCCGCCATCTGCAATCTGACCCCACCACCAAAGACATCATCTTTCCCTCCCCACCCTTATCTGCTTTCCGGAGGGACAACTCTCTCTGTGACTCCCCTCCAGCTCCACCACACCCGGCACTTTTCCTTGCAACCGCAGGAAGTGCTACACCTGCCCCCATACCTCCTCCCTCACCCCCATCCCAGGCCCCAAGAAGACTTTCCACATCAAGCAGATGTTCATCTGCCAATGTGGTATACTGCATCCGCTGCACCCGGTGTGGCTTCCTCTACATCGGGGAAACCAAGCGGAGACTCGGGGACCGCTTTGCAGAACACCTACGCTCGGTTCGCAATAAACAACTGCACCTCCCAGTCGCGAACCATTTCAACACCTCCCCCTCCCATTCCTCAGACGACATGTCCATCCTGGGCCTCCTGCAGTGCCACAACGATGCCACCCGAAGGTTGCAGGAACAGCAACTCATATTCCGCTTGGGAACCCTGCAGCCCAATGGTATCAATGTGGATTTCACAAGTTTCAAAATCTCCCCTCCCGCATCCCAAAACCAGTCCAGCTCGTCCCTGCCTCCCTAACCTGTTCTTCCTCCCACCTATCCCCTCCTCCCACCTCAAGCCGCACCTCCATCTCCTACCGACCAACCTCATCCCGCCCCCTTGACCTGTCCGTCCTCCCTGGACTGACCTATCCCCTTCCTAACTCCCTACCTACACTCACCTTTACTGGCTCCATCCCCGCCTCTTCGACCTGGTCTGTCTCCTCTCCTCTATCCACCTTCTATCCGTTCTCCCTCCCCCCCCCCCCCCATTTATTTCAGAACCCCCTTCTGCTCCCCCACTTCTGAAGGGTCTAGGCCTGAAATGTCAGCCTTCCTGCTCCTCTGCTGCTTGGCCTGCTGTGTTCATCCAGCTCTACACCTTGTTATCTCTCGTTTGAATGTTTCCAGGTTAATGTGCTGCCAGTGGAACCTGACCAACCTGTTAGTCCTGTTTGAACTCTGAACTCTGCAAGTGAGTGGGGTTTAAAGTCTTGTCCATTTTTTTGATAAAGTTTACATGGAGGCTTCTATAAATCATGTTGGGCCTTTCAAGTTTTTGAGGAAGTTCTTCACAACAGGCTGCTGCATTGGTTTGGAGAATTTTGAGGTGAGCTGAAAGCAAGTCTTTGAGTAGTTAAGGAGCAGGCTGAAAATAAAGAAATTGCAGGCATTTATTCAGGAAACTGAAGTTGGGAGATGGTACCGGTACAGGAGCCCTTGCATTAGCCAACTGGTCTCAAAGTCAAGTTTAATTTATAGAATAACAAATCTGAGAAAGTAACCTTTTTGTGCTTGGAGCTAACGGAGTAAAATGATGGCTGAGGGAAATGCATTGAAACAAACGTGTAACACAGTGGCATAGAGGTTTTCAAAGTGAAAACCAGCTTGTGTTTAGCTTCAGAAGCTCTGGATGTCTGAATAGTTTGTTCTGGACAGTAAAGTTCCTTTTTCTTTGTAACATAATGAAATGCAAAATGCTAGATTGAAGGCATGCATCCTTTTGCTATTTGTGGGACCATAATCTGATCTGTTTTATTAATGTTGGTTGACTGGTATATATGTTGGCCAGAGCAGCAAGGGAACTTCTAGATGATACCGTTAGCTGACCCTCTCTCTTTTTACGTACATCTGAAATGGGCAAGTTGTACCTTGGCTACCAGAAAACAGCCCCTGTGCCAGAGAGACACTCTTGATTGAGGTGGGGCTTGAACCCATGATTGACTACGAGGCAAGAGTGCTATCAATGTCAAAGCTCGCACCTCTTTTTGAAAATGTAGTTGAATGATGTGGATTTGGTAGTTATAAACTTCATGTTGAATTAGAATTACTGAATTAGAGCATGAGCCAGATGTTTACTGAATCTATACAGTGTTTTACCAGATTCTTATCTCGATGACCAATTTTGACAGTTCATGCAGTACGAAGGTAAATTCAGGTTCTGGGTGCAGTGCTGTTTTTTTTAAAAAAAAATGAGCCTGACTCCTTGGTTTAGAGGACCTGGCTGTAAAAATGTAACTGGGATTAATTAGTGGCCTTCACAGAAGCTTAAATTATCCACAATATTCAGACAAAGCTGGAGCAGTGCATGAAGGTAACAATCAAACAAAGGACATGGCTTCACACTGGTAGCCAGTTCAAGGTAACATTGTGCAGTTAAACACCAAGTGTCTTTTGGCATTGGAAGCAAATAGAACTGTAAAAATTACTTTTCTGATTGTACTGAAATGTAATAGGTAAAATGAGTGGTGATGTGGTGACATTTGCTAATGTTATGACTAGAAATTCCAAATCCATGTTTTGGGGCAAAAATGTAATATATCTGGGGAGAAAGAACCCTCCATTTCATTTCTTTTCATTTGATTGCTTTGCTTTTCATTCCTCAGGATGTTTGAAATTACTTGCAACTTGCCTACAGAGAAAGATCTCAAAGTAGCACTTTATGATTTTGATTTGTTGACTCGTGATGAAAAGGTGGGAGAGACTGTTATTGACCTGGAAAACCGACTCCTATCGCGCTTTGGAGCTTATTCTGGATTGCCTCAATCATACTGTGTGTAAGTGTGCCAATATTCCATATTGACTTGTACTGTTATCTCCCTGTTTTTTTTCTTGTGTTTTTGCATTCCTTCTATCAGAAATATGGTTCTTCCATGTCCAAGCAGCCCCCGACTTTAAGTCTGCTTTCTGTTGGCTATGCTCATGAATAGCCAGTTGTGAAATTCTAGTTCTTTTCCTTAGCTATATTATGCACGTACAAATTTTGACCAAAGATTATTGAACAATCATTGAAAACGAACACCCCTAGAGGAATATTTCCTGGTTCCAAATTGCAAGCATAAAATCTTCTTTAATGTTTCAAACACTTGGTCTGTATTGCATTCATGGGTTGATAGAAGGAAGAAAGTGAAATAAATGAGATGTCTTGAGACTTTTTGACATGGTTTCTCGTCTTAACATTTCTTTCTTTCCTTCCTTCTTTGTAGTTGATTTGGATGTGACTAACTTGATTGCTTGTTTTCACAGTTCTGGTATAAATATGTGGCGTGATCAACTCAAACCAACCCAGTTGTTACAGAATTTAGCCAAAATGAAAGGCCTTTCTCAGCCAATCATCTCTAGCAACAGTCTCTCCTACAATGGTCAGGAATATTTACTCAATGACATTGGTAAGCACGCTCTGGCATTCAGTAAAGAACTAAAAGACACTTCATGGGGTGGGACACAATTGTGAAAATAAACTCAAAAATACCATCTGAATTTGGTAGGAAAAAGCTTGAATATTATTGGGGGGGGGGGGGGGGGGAGATGCAGTTTGGCTTTGATTTTTGCGTTCATCGGGAGAAATGTCAGTATAAAGGCAAACAGTTTATACTGAGAGGTGTTTCAGCACTGTGCTCTGAATTTCTCAACTCCTACACTGAATTTCTTGGAGCTTTTGAAGTTGCCTTAAACAGATAATATTTGTGGATGGATGTTAAAACTTGCTGATTGAATGAATACTGTTTGAACAATTTCATCTATTGTGTAGTAATAAACTCGGTCAGGAGTCTTGGGTTAGGAGTCTGATCCTGGCAGAGAATGTAATTTGGAGGTAGATAGTCAAGTGGTAGAAATGTTTAAAGTTGTGTCCTGGTCTGGGAATGGTTAAAACCAGTTGTAATTAGCTGTTGATGATGTTGGCTTTATGCTTACCCCAGGAGGGAAATGCGTGGGTACAGATGTCTTGTCAGAACAAGATTGGTTTGGACTCTTGTGTTCTCGCTATCACTAGCGTGCCAGTACTTGTTCTTTTTAAGCTTAAATAACATGGATGATTTATCCGAGGGGTTACCAGCTAATGAAACTGCACTTCAGGAGTTGCAATTGTAAGGATACAAGAAGGGATAAAATGTGCAAGCTGAAATAAGTTGCTCAAGCTGCCAGGTTCTTAATGTGTTGAGGCAATGCTTGCAGCTATTTCTTTACTGTGCTTCATGTTTTTAAACAAGTGTATTCGGATACATTTTCAGAGAAATGCTGACTTCAGAATAAATTATTGTGCTGTACAGGAGTTGAGGTGGGGGGAGAGATTACAAAAATCAGTTCCGTGGCCCCTCGTAGTCAGATGTTGTATAAAAAGTTGCATTGTGATCACAGCAGTGTACCAGCTTGGATAGCCGAGTCTGGTAGCAAGCAATTTTGAACTCAAAGGGGAAATGAAACCAAGGATGTCTTCAACTGAAGTCTGGCAACATTTATATATTACAATGAACTAGAAATTGCTATGTCCTGCATGGATCTGACATTTTGAAGGTGCTGATTCAATAAAATCAAGTATTTCCTCAATTCTTTTGGGTTAAGCGAATCCTGATTTATTTTTTTTAGATTCCCGACTGTGTGCAAACAGGCCCTTCGGCCCAACAAGTCCACACCGACCCTCGGACCATCCCACCCAGACCCATCTCCCTATAACCCACCTAACCTACACATCTCAACACTACAGGCAATTTAGCATGGCCAATCCACCTAGCCTGCACATCTTTTGGATCATGGGAGGAAACTGGAGCACCTGGAGGAAACCCACACAGACACTAGGAAAACTTGCAAACTCCACACAGTCAGTCAGTCACCCAAGGGTGGAATTGAACCTGGGTCCCTGGCACTGAGGCAGCAGTGCTAGCTATTGAGGTTTCTAGGGAGGGTGGAATGGGTTGTGTTGTGAAATGTAAGGCTGAAAGCTAAATGCTTTCTAATGGCTTTAGCAGCAAAGGGGAATAGTCGAAATGGTGATCAGTTTAGCTCACTTTGTTTAAAAAAAAAAAGTACTATGGTGCCTCCTCTTGGAAGGTATACTGCCTGGTTTTTGTTTTGGTCTCCATAGAGGGCAGAGACTTTGCTGTATGGTAACAAAATAAATAATGAGGAGGCTACACCACCCTTCCTAAAGTGTGCAACTGAAAAGTGAGGGGGATCATCTGTACCATGGCGCACATGCTTTGCATTGGAAATGATTATTTAAATCCATTGAGAACAGATTTTGGAGCCATGAGTAGTCAACTCAATTCATGCTTTTCTGATTTTATGCTTTCCTAGTGACTTGTGGGAAATTTTTACCTCTACTGCAAGAAAATAACCTTTCTGACAAGGGCAATATAATTGTAAACTGTATAATTACTGTTGGAGAAACTGTAGATGAATGTTTAATGGGTTTGTCACTCCTGTGTCTTTGTTAATTTTGCTTCTGGCACAGCAGGTTATGATTGTTTTTTGAAATTTTAAGATGACATTTGGTCATGCAATGTGTATCCAGCAATTGGAGAAAAAGACAATTTCATCCATGGCTGTGATGTACATACTTTGTGTGATTAAACATGGGCTGGTATTGGTAATCATGTCTTGGAGTTTGAGTTGAAAGGAATGCCACGCTATTGCTGAGCAGATTTTGATGTGAGACATTGCAGTCGGGGCCCTTGGCCAATCTCTCCATTTGGATGTAAAGGATTTTGTGGCCACTATTTAAAGAGGAATAGATGACTGACTTCATCAACATTTTTCTGATGAAGGGTCTAGGCCCGAAACGTCAGCCTCTCTGCTCCTATGATGCTGCTTGGCCTGCTGTGTTCATCCAGCCCTGCACCTTGTTGTCTCTCATCAACATTTTAAGCTGTTTTAAAGATATTGCTTTAGACAAATCTGCTTTTTTAAAACTCGGTGACCAAATTGGCTGCCACATTTGCTTACACTACAACAGTGACTGTTTATAAAGTACTCTGTTCCTGTTCTTTTAAAATGTTCTAGGGTCATGACACATGCTATGTAAATGCAAGTTCTTTATAATGCCAAAATTCTGAAAAGTGTTTATATTTTCGTATTTCAAGTATATTTGATTTGGAATTCAAAGTCTTGGGTTGCAGAGTTTTGGTCACTGCCCAGAACAGTCTCAAATTGGAACTTCTGTGCTAGGAGAAAGGAAGGCAGGAAAGGTTAAGCCCCAGGATACCCCTCTGAAAATTTTTCTTCAGTCCTCCCATTTTTATCTCCTCAGCAAATTAGAAATCTACCACTGCTGTACGCTAGTTTCTCTTGCCGAAAAAGAGACTGAATATGTAAAAACAACTGAACTTGCAACTTGACTCAATGTGTGCAAACAGGGCTGTTTTAAGTGGGTCAGCCTTAGCTAGTTTTCTAAGTTGATGTGTCCAATTGTAATTTAAAAGTACAACAGGGCAGATGTCTTTTCACTATGTTACTGATTAGTGTTGGTTTCTCTTATACCCACAGCTGGTATTTTTGGGTGTTGGCTTCTAACTATAGTTATACTTTCTGGGGGTGTAGTTCTATTTGTCATTGGCCTCCCCAACCACACTGCTACCATTGGCCACTTGACAGTCAACAGGCTCTCCATTATGTGAAGGGATGGTTCCTGACCCCTTTCCTGTTTATCCCCAAATATTTTAGTAACTAATGGCTGAATAATCTTACACTAGGAAGAATATGTACTTTTTCATTCTGCATTGTTGAAAGCAGTATCCAGGGGATTAATATTCAATTCCGATCCTGGCAATTGGCAACATTACAGCACACTGGTTACTTTTTGTTTTTTTTTTTGCGGGGGCATCCCATCCTTGAAAGGCACAGGGTCACGACCCATGGTCAAAACAGTGAAATCTCGTTACAAAATCTTTTGTCAAGCAGCCAAGTTAAAATGAATAGAAAACTGGTCTCTGTTTCTGGGGAAACTTCCTGCAAATTGTGCTCCAGCCAAGCTGATCTGTAAGTGCTTCCTTTTTGGAGGCTGGATCTAGTCGGTAACTTGTTTGCACTCGGACAGGGATCATTATCACAGGTGGCAAATGCTACCTGTGGTGCCAATGATATCCAACACTATTGCCTTTTGTGATTTTTTTTTTTTAAGTAGACAGATACTGATGCATGTTGGAATAGGATGCAGGACTACAGCAATAAAAACATGTCAGCAAACTATAATTTACCCAGTTGTTCCTTTTTATGAACTTTTGCTCGCTAGATGACCTGATGTTATCTGCTCCTTTTGCACTCTTGAGAGCCCTTTCTGGTTGTAATTAGACCTTTTTTGGAGAGATATCAATTCAATATAGCGCAACTGGCTTGTTTGGCAGAAATGGTAGGAGCCTTGCTGGTTTGGGATCCAGTTCCTGCAACAAACTAAACAAAATGAGAACAAGTATAAAAATTGAGACACCTACCAAACTGCAAGGTTTTGCTGCAAGATCCATTATTAGTAGATGATTTCTTCAAATGGATCGCTATCTGAATATATGTGCCTGATTGTAACAACAATCGAAAGTCCACCTTCTAAATTTGTCCTGTCTTTGTGCCTTAGATTTTAAACTCCAGTCACTTACTTTTGTCCTGATGTCATTTGGATTCTGACACCTTCCAGTGTAAGACAAACATATTGTTTTTAAGATAGCACTTGTCATTTCATACACGATAGCAGCATGTTCACCAACTGTTCGGACTCTGAAGATTTACGTAACAATGCTTGAACGCGGCTGTTCTTTGCACTTGAATAAATGTGGTGATACCAAGTGGCACAAATCCAGTTATTTCTGGAAATCTATATCGGGATTGAATATTTCTTGCTGAATCTGTAAATATATTTGAGTTTAGTAACTAGGAGATGCTAGCTGCTTTAAATTCAGTGCCTCTACAACCTTTTACATTATACCTCAAACACTGAGTTTCCAATGCTTGGAAAATGAGCTTTTTACATTTACACATCTTTACTTGGAAGTAAGTTTTTAAATTTAAATTTTATTTCTGTAACATTGAATCCTACTTTTCCCAGTTTGAGTCATCTCATGAATGTAGTTGGATGCATTTGAATGCAGAAGCTTGATCTGTTGATATCTGAAAATAAGATTTTGGCCTTTCTTCATTTGTCTTGTATCATTTACTGCTTCAGGGTCTGAACAAGCAATTCTTTTAATTAGATGTTGATGTTGAGTTTTGAAACACTTGAGAAACAAGCAGAAATCAAATGTGCTTTTCTGTTTCAAGTTATCGTAGTATCAAGTTAAACGGCCAATAACTCTGGTCCTACTTTGTCACTTCACTTGTTTGAAATGTGGTAAAATTGAGTATGTAATGAGGAGGGCAGTGTAAAATTTAACGCTGATATAGACTGGGAGAACCGGGCAGAATA